GTTGTCTCCCCCTTGGCGTTGCTACCACTGCCGAGAGAACACAGCTAAGCAGCCCGTCGTGCAGCTGGCCCAGATGGCAATCTAAGCGCTGCCTGCGTGCGCATAGTTGTCATTCAGCTAACGTACCAGTAGGTGCCGCATAATGCATCTAATTACCTCGACTACTTGCCTAGGTACCTATGAAATGGTACAGCAAACCACCATGATGATGGGGCTGCCAACAGCTCCGAAAGCTCCACGGCCTAGCACAAACTGGCGGCCGGTCCCCTCCTCCGACTCAAGCCACAACGGGAAGGCTGGCACACGGTTTAGGTGGACACTGACAGTGTTTGACAGCGGCCAGCCAACCAACCGGCTGACCGACAGGCCTGTCCATCATCACAGTAACCGGTGGACCGGCCGGTCTGGGAAACAAAACGTAATGGCTGGGCTAGCCTGCTCCCGTCCGCCCAATCGATGGGCTCGGGTTCACATTCCCAAAAACGGGGATTGAGGAACTTGGTCAGTGCACCCTGACCGAAGATTCCATTTCCTTTCCATACCAGCTAGACCCCGATGCGATAAGTGCACCCTGATCTCTTATCGGCCGTCTAGCCCACTGTCGCGTGCCACCATCGCCACACTTTCCACTCATTTCTCCCGCCCAACAGCCTGCAATGACAATGGTCGTTTCTGTGATTGGCCGACCTTGCTCTGGCCACTGGACCCCTCCTATTACGTATCAATCAATTACTCAATCAGATTGCCGAGTTGAGCAAGTCGGCAATGTTGTGCATACGTACCTGTTCCCCTCCAGAGGGTCTCTCTTCGCGAAACCCGAAGCCAATCAACGACGAGAGGAGAGGCAGCTTGAGTTAGCCGATCGTCCACCCATGATCGTTTCCTGGGATGTTCTGGATCAGTTCCTCATCGGACCTATTTCGCTTTGTGAGCTTTTGAGTGGCAATGCTATGCTGCCAGCAGGCAGCCATGAGCTTGGCAGCTTGGCAACATGAACGTTGTATTCTCCATCGTGTCTTCCGTTCGCCGTAAGTAGATATTACGTATGTACTATCAAAATGCGTACACCAAGTGACATGCTGGCTTGCTTTGGGCTGTAGCTCCGGTCAATCCATTTCCCACCGCCCACTCTTGCCACCGTCCTTGAGAACCACTCTCAGTCCGTCGATGATCATCCCCTTATCCACCGCTTTGCACATGTCGTACACTGTCAGGGCCGCCGTGGATGCCGCCGTCAGTGCCTCCATCTCAACGCCGGTCTTGCCGTCGCACTTCACGGTCGCTCTAACCTCGATTTGCTGATCCGAGGAATTCGCGTCGAGGTCGATCTTGACGTGGGAGAGCGGGATCGGATGGCACAGCGGGATGAGATCCGGCGTCCGCTTGGAGGCCATTATCCCGGCCACGCGGGCAACGCCGAGCACGTCGCCCTTCTTCATCTGGTTCTCCCGGATGAGCCTGACCGCGTCGGGTGTAGAGAAGCGGATTGTGCAGGCGGCTGTTGCGACGCGTGAAGTCACGTCCTTGTCGCTGATGGAGACCATGTGCGCGTCGCCAGTCTCAGATACATGAGTGAGGCGCTGATTGCTTGGGCTTCCCGTCGCCGCCGTCTCTTTGGAAGGTGCAGAACTCTTTTGATTATGATGCCTCGATGTCGAGAACAGCCGCGAGTGTTGGGATTGTCGGTCGGTCTGGAAGAGATGTGATGGCCAACCTCTGGGAGCGGCAAACGAGTTCTTAAACGGATATTGTACGTTCCGGCGGCTGGTAAAGGATGCAGAAAGGTCATCTACAATTTGGCTATTTAGCTGATATCCTACATTAGGATTAAGAATGCGGGCAGAGTTATAAAAGAGTGAATGAGATGTAACACCATGAGAATATGCTAACCCTGTGCGCCATATCTTGCAAGAAGCCCAAATCCCCCAATATCATGGTATCATATCATTCCGTCATCATATATAAATCGAGAAATGAAAGTAAAATGATAGCGGGTTGTTGCTTGCTTACCCACCTATGAGAATCATTGGCCTGTTCTTCATGTGTTCGAGCTCTCCCATACCGGCGTGCTTGGCCTTCTTTCTCTTAACAGCGGCTCCGATAACCTCAAGCAACTCGGCCTCGTGAGTATCTATACCCAATGCTTGGTTTGGGGGCATAATGCCTTGCTTCCGGTCCATCTCGATTTGCTTCATGGCCTCGAAGGCTTGCTCGTCAATGGGCTCACCACCGTTTGAGCTGCGTAGAATATCTCGGAGTGATACCTCGGCATTGCCGAAGAGGCACACTTTGAGGTTCCCGTCGCTGGTGATGCGTAGACGATTGCAGGTCCCGCAGAAGTTGTGCGTCATGCTCGTGATGAATCCTATCCTCCCTGCGAAACCCGGGACGTGCCATGTTTTGCTCGTGTCGTTCCGGTGGTCCTGAACTTTGGACAGGCTGGGGTGCTTCTCCCCGATCAGCCCCAGCATCTCCTTGTAACTGAACATCTTCGTCTTGTTCCACTTGTTGCCGTCGAACGGCATGTACTCGATGAAGCGGACCTCGAGGTCCTTCTCTCGAGTCAACTCCACAAAGGGGACAATCTCTCGGTCGTTCACGCCCCGCATGACGACACAGTTGATCTTGAGTTTTATTCCAGCTCCGGCCTTGTTCAGCTCCAGGATGCGATCGATGCTCTTCTGAACTGCATCGAACCCCTTCCGTCTTGTCATGATTTGAAATTGGAAGGGGTCCAGGGTGTCCAGGCTGAGGTTGACTCCGGTCAGCCCAGCGTCGACCATACTATCCAGCTTCCGGTGCAGGGAGATGCCGTTTGTCGTGATGCATAGCTCCCGGAGGCCCCGGCTCCGAAGATCTCCGAGCTGATGCATCAGAGGGAGAATATCACGACGCACCGTCGGCTCTCCGCCAGTGAGCCGAATCTTATTCACTCCCTGGGAGACAAAGACAGAGGAGAGCATGACTATTTCTGGCGTGGTGAGAAGCTCCCGGTTGGGTGATAGGGGGACACCCTCCTCGGGCATGCAGTAGACGCAGCGCAGGTTGCATCTTTCCGTGATTGAGATCCGCAGATAATCATGTTGGCGGGAGAAGGTGTCGGTCAGGAAGTCGGAAAAGGGCCTTGCTTGCTTGATTGTCTCCCTCCGAGAGTCTAGAGGGGGCTGTATTTCCGCCCCGGTGTTCCTTTCCGTTTGTGATCCAAGCCCGGCTGAAACCTTTCGGCTCTGGCTCTGGGAAGCGATGCGCAGAGCGGTGCACAGTGATGGTCTGGCCCGGCGTGCCCAAGGGAGGCCAGCTCTGATTGAATACATGGCTGTATTCGTTTTTTGGCGCGTCGCTTATTCCGACAGTTGGAAGCCTGTCATGCCCTCGTGCAATCTGATTTCCACATGTAGATGTGTCACAGAGTATGGATGAAAGGCACTAGGTGATGTGATGAACACTCCGACTAGGTACGCAAAGAAACCGGCCCTTACCGACCCAACATCCTTTTTAGAGTTATGCTGTTGATTAGAAGGGGTGTTCGCGTCGCCGTTGAGAGTGCCGCAGCAGGGAGAGCGGGATCCTAAGGCGAAGGGTAAGATAGGATGGCTGAAGTTAGAGATGGAGGGGCTAAAAGATGATGGTACTCTTACGTCGGTACTAACTAAGAAGGAACATGGTTGCCACCCTATAGCGCTACCAATGAGACTGAGCCCAGGTGATATCCAGTCGTTGGATGGCTTGGCCAAGTAGTTGAGGCCTCCATTTTCGATCTGTCATTTTTTTTGGTTTTTAGTCACAATGAGCGTCACTGAATAGTCTGTTTCGGGAAATCAGCCCAACCTGACAATACCCAAAATGTTGCACTACCAGCTGAGGTTCTAATGCACTATCAGGCCAACGCACGCATGTACTATGAATTCAGAAACTCCCCCCACCATAAGAATAACAAAAAAGACCAAAGAGGAGAAGTAAGAGCAAACAGACAGGATAAAAATTGAAAGCGTGCCAAACAAATGTCAAGTCGGTACTCCATCGAGTGCAAAAAGTGAATGAACATGCTTCCAACTATCTCGCCGATGATTGAACTCGGGTCTCGGGCGTGACAAGCCTACACACTGACCACTCCGAGAGAAACTGCTGACTAAACATACGGTCAATACGGCATTTGGGTGGCTGCGGCAGGCAACACCAAACTGGCTGGTATCCATCATATCTACACACTGGAGGAGATGGCTCAAGCTAGGCGCAAGGTTACGGAGGCGGAGCACAACTCGCCCTTTGCAACCGAAAGCCACAAGAATTTGTTCGACCTTGGGGAAAAAAATCATGGCAGCAAAACGATTACAATTGGGAGTTCTTGTCGGTCCTAGTATCAACCCTAGGTTAGCTACCTGTACTAAACCAGATGATAAAGATTGCATAGCCCCAAATGAATCGGATACAATCTGAATACATTTTTTGCCCCCAAACATCAAATAAAAATAAACAATTGCATCAGTTTGAAACAAAATTCAATCAGCGAAAAAGGCTGTCGCATTGCACCTCTGAGTGAGTGAGTTGGGAAGAGAAGGTGCGTGGGCGAGGTGAATGCCAGAGCCTTAGTCATCACCGTGTGCATAAGGTACTAAGGTACTTACCTTACTTTCCACCTGTGTCGCGCCTGCCCGATAATTATCACGACTCGATTGACGACACCTTGGAACTGGACTGAGATTGATTTTTTCATAAAATTGCATGAATCACACGTCAAAAACACTTTTTCAAAAGGAGTGCCTTCTCCCCCCCTCCCCTTCCTTCTACGTCCGACTATTGTGGTTGCGGGTTGAAAACATCAACAACATCGCAACTTCGATCTCGTCTCAGCAAGTGCACCCCCAACGGGAGATTCTCACCAAAAACACCACAATAAAAGATTGAGGTTACGATGCACTACTCGCGATTGATAAAATGTAGGGTCGATATTTCCTATCGCGCCACTGGGTTTCCAAACCAAAGTAGAATGTACGGCTAATATGAAACGACCAGCCTCAACACACTGTAGTGCCAGTCCGAATGGACAGTTGATTGCAACACTGGAGGGGTCTTCGATCCGGATCCGGTCCGTGAAGACGTTGCGATCGCTAAATCTCTCGAAGCTACCACCTGAGCTGTCGAGTCCTATTGTCCATTTTATATGGAGTCCCTCTTCGACCAGGATCCTGGCGGCGTCGGCTGATCACATTACAGTCCTTTCTGTGACCGATTCTGCATGTCATGCCAGCATCGCAAACCCACTGGCTGGCCAAGGGAAACCCTCATATATCCAGTTTGGTCCAAATGACTCGGAACTCATCCTTTTCGCCCCGTTTGGTCTGAAGCTGCTTCTATTCAATCTCTCGACATCTAAAGCCGTCGAGATACCTAGCCCCAAGTTTCACCTCCCCGGCTCTGCCAAACGCGGGTTCTCTATACGGACGGGATCTGGCCACTTGGCTCTTTTGACTCGATCTGCTGGCAAAGACGTTGTCAGCATTCACCATCCCGACACCCGCCAGCTGGAGAGATCGTGGTACCCTGCGACCTTGGATGCACAGGCCGTTGCGTGGTCACCAGACGGATCATGGCTGCTATTGTGGGATTCGCCAGCACAAGGTCGGAGGATTTTACTCTATACTCCAGACGGGCAGCTCTTCCGAAACTTAGGAGGGGCTGACAAAGTGGACGATGAAGCGACACGGCTGAACGTGGGGATCAAGCTTTGTCGTTTTAGTCCAGACTCGCGTTTGTGTGCCTTTTGTGATCACACCCGAAAGGTCACTGTTTTGAATACCAGTGTTTGGAGGGAAGAGTTGACCTTGGTCCATCCCGTTACCATCGTGCCGAGTGACACCCTCCAGGTGAGTGCCACTAGGGAATCCCCTAACCTTGTCCCTTTGCAACTTGTTGTCGCCTATTTTGGTGTAGTGTGATGGTTTCGGACCTATTCTGATTGCTGTGTTTAGATTTGGCAAGAGCAACGTCAGAATTCTGCTGGTAGCTCCTCGTTCGACTCTTGTTTCGTTCGGGCATCGCAGGATGTCGCCCCTCCGGCGGCCTCGGAGGATACTAAATCTACCACAGAACTGAAGGTCGGCTGCTCAGTGGCTTCATTTGATTCTTCTGGTGCTCTATTAGCGACTAAACTGGATGAGCACCCGGGAACAGTATGGGTTTGGGACCTACTCGCCGGAGAACTAAGAGCAGTTCTCATGTTCCACTCTCCCGCTGACGTAGCTTGGCACCCATCAATTCACGAGTTGCTTCTGATTACTTGTAGCGTCGAACAAGTGAACCTCCATTTCCACTGGGATCCGCTGTCTAATGGGCCTGGGTTCGTCAAATTTCAAGAGCAGCTTGTCGACGGTAAGGTGGCTGGAAAATTGCAGGCAGCTTGGATAGATTCCAAGGATGATGATCCAAAACTGCTGCTCACAGATAGGCAGCATTTATGTGTTCTGTCACTATCCGAGACGGGCAACGAGGCGGCTAGTTGGGAGGAAGATACGAGTTTCTTTCGGGTGGATAGCTCAGCGCGACAGCCTCTGTCATCAATTCGTGGCCAGATCGATTCGATAAGAGACAGCATCGCTTTAGAAGACGAGGGTTCAATGTTGGAGGATACCTTCTCGTTCAAGCATAGCTGAACACTTTCAAGTTTCTTTTGTTCTTTTTGATTATCCCATTTGTTACATGGGTTATTTGGCGAGCCTGAGCGTGCCCTGGCCGTTGAGCTACCATGGGGCCCCTCCCCCTGTTTGCTATTTTGTCTGTGGATACAAGTTGTAGTGTCTCACCCTTCCTCTCGTCTTTTTTCCGGAAAACTATGTAGAATTGGTTGGTGCAGAGAGTCGAGGTGTAGAAGGAGTTGGGCAGAACAAGGATGCGGGGGCGTGTGCGGTGGCTGGTTAGTTTCCTCTTCTCTCCCGCGTCAGAGCATCATCGTCTCGGTGTGGCATCCTAAGCAAGAACTGCATTTTGACCGCGAGCCAAAAAAAACAGGGTCGAAAGAGGAGGGTACCTCGTTTGGTTTGGCTGCAGCTGGACACATCTGTGCAGGACACCCTCGATGTTGAGCGGACCCTAGAGAGGACTTGGAGACAGGAGGGTACATCCAAACATTGTATCCCCGAGGACTATCTCTAAGCTCAAGCCTGGATAGGTTTTTACATGGGGCAAGACCGGGGTTTGGGACCCTCGAACAGCATAATCCTGGTCTCGATCTTCAGCTCGAACATCGCAAGGTTGAATCGGAGGAACAAAGTATAAAGCAACAAGGTTCATTGGGACTTATAATCCCGGATTGTGACCTGTCATGTTACTTTTATCGTGTCGACAGGGCTTAGGAGACGCTGTCTCGAGAGCTAGCCTGGTTGGTTGCTCTACACCTCCGCTCATCTCCAATACTTGCCCCTGGAGGTACCGGCAGACATGAATACGTGCGGCTTCCAACTCTTCAAGGTTGAGTTTCTCGGCTGGCAGTACCTTTCTCTCCTCGTCAACCGCAGGTTCTTCCCTCCCCCATGACAGGCCTCGTTGCATAGAAATATATCCACGTCACAATCGTCTACCTCGCTGATTCGCTATTTATACCCGATTGAATGTCCTACTACTCTCACGGGGGGGGGGGGCATGGTGAGCTACCTCGCCTCCTTTGAGCAAGCTACATGCTGCGTGTGGCGGATGTAGGCTCCTTGCATCTGGGAGGGAGTTCCACCGCGATATTGCATCTGGACTGAGGCTAGCCGTGGAAATCGAACGCAACTAGGGATTTGATATACCCTTTTGGGCTGGGAAATTTACTCAATTCTTTGAGAAAGAAGGAGGGTGGAGGGGGGATCTGGTTCGTAGGTCCAGCTCTGTTCTTCCTGGCTCCCCTTGTCTTCATCAGATCTGCAAGGATCCAGTTCGAGCATAAAAAGGACCCCCCAGCGAGATCTTGTCTGAACTTGAGATTACTTCTCGTCCATGTCATCTCAGATCGGTGTTCACATCTTTTTTGTAGTGACTGCGCTCTGCTTTCCGCAGCTCTTTTTTCCGCCCTCTCCTGGTCACCTACCAAACAGGCCTTGGACACCCCTCTGGTGCAACCAACAATCCTTCCAGATTTGAAGATACAGCTCCAGATGTCCCTCCCATTCCGTCCCATGGGACCTGTCCCTCATTTCATGAGTAGCAACCCGGCAACAACTGGGCAGCTGCCAGAGACTCGCATGAAGATGGTCGATCCAGGTGTGGTAACTGGTGTCTACTACATCACCTTTTGCAATGTTTGTGTCCGCCCTGGCTCTGTTTGGTCGGCAATTCTTTGTGCTCATGTTTCTGACATGCTTGGCGAGATACAGATTCCACTACATGTAACCTGGCAGGAGATGAGACGCCACATCTCCCAGGTCTGCGAAGTCGACCGCGTCGAGATCTTCACCGCGAGTACATCGGGATGGGTCCGACTCAAAGGCCATCATAACTTTGAAAAAGCATGGGGTGAGACCACCCGAATGTCCTTGTAAAGGCACGCTAACCATTGCCCTTGCTCATAAACAGCTCTGTTGCAGCATGGCTACCAGAATCGAGACCTCCGTCCTTCAGCCAAGAATTGCTACGACGCCCTCCCGATCAAGGAGCGCTTTCCTGAGGGTCATCATACGGGGCATGGCCAGCCGGTCATGGCTGGTTCCTGGCCACAGATGGAGAGAGATGGTCCATTTAGCTCCCACCTTTACAACTACCGAAGCCCCGAGACGCAGGCATCCCAGCCACGGACGTACACACACCCACACGCATCCCTGCCCCCCCAGCCGGTGCGAACCAACAACTCAGACCAGATCTGGTCCGCCCCAAGCACGGTGGCCAATAGCGGCCGGTCGGGATATTTGTTGCCCATGAACACAGAGATTCCTGCATCCTCCGCTGCCCTGACTGGTGGAGGGCAGTCTTGCCCCCAGCCGCCCCGTGCTTCACATGCACGTGAATGTTCAGACGACTCGGCTGGGCGTGCTGCAGTCGCGAACAATTCTATGCCTGCAAAATTAACGACGCCCCTTGACTCCGGGGACCGCAAGATCCTGGTAAAAGGGTTCGGCTCACATGCGGACGAGTCAGAAATCAGATTCTGGATTTTCGACACTTGTGGTCCACTTGCCATGAACATCCGTCGTCTGGATGTTCCTGCTAGGCAGTCTGGTCCCCGAAACTCGTCTTCCCACAAGCAAATCTGTGGGTATGCCTTTGTAGTCTATCGGAGCCCCTCAGCAGCTGCCAAAGCCGTGGACTTCTTGCAGAACAGAGAGTATAACGGCACACCTGTCACTGCCCAACTCATCGATGACAGTGAAAGGCATTCTCCAGTGCCGACCGCACCCTTGCGAGCATTGAAGCATTGAAAATTTTTGACCATACAGAAGCTGCCATCATACAAGGCTCCTCTCCTGCTGTTCCCTCCCTCAGCTCTGTCAGCTCCGCTTATCCCTCGTGTTTCGCTACGAATGTCGACATCGCCACTGCTACTGTTGATTTAGGGGTTCAGACAGCTAGGGTAGGGGAAGAATTCTAGAAACATCCATCCCCTGTTGCTGGTTTTGGCCCTTTTGACTCCCTATAGAGGGCCAACTATCGAATGGTCTTTACAAGGCTGCTGTTTATTGTCTACTTGTTTTCGCTGTGCTTGAACTAGCACTTTTCTGTTTTTTTCTAACCCCATCACACTCGCTATCGGCTTTTACATGCAAGGAATGGACTGTTGGCGTTTGTGCTCTCTTCCGCCGAATCATACAAATGCTCCCCCCCCCAGATTGGATTAAAGACGGAGGCTATGATGAATAACTGGCTTGATACGAAATCTAACGACTTGAAATTCAATAATAACTTTTTCCTTTTTTGCTTCTTCAATCAAACGCATGAATTTTTCACCCCGAGAGTGCCCCGTGTGAGCTGAGTGTATCTCTACGTCGCAGCAGCCGTAGGTAGGTCTACATTAGGATGGGGATGCGAATGAGGCTGGCAACATGCATATGGGCACTGCGTTAGGCTCCTTGGCGTAATGTAACACGCTTGGGCCCCTTCATAGGTACCTGCAAGTCGACCTTGTGTATCCATGTATGTTATGGTGCAGCACAGGCAGATTCATCGACGGGCGCAAGCTCGGGGAAGTGACTTGGATGGATGTCGGTGAGGACGCATACAAGGACCAGGTGGTCGGACTTTAGACTCGATTCGCGACTACCCGCTGGCTACAAGAAGGTTCTAGATGTGTTTTGCATGCTCGCGTAACCCCAGATATCCACTATCCCAGCTGCACGTCTTCAGCCTCCTCGAGCCTTTCGCCTCCCGCATATTGGTGCGGAAGAAGACCGCCGCCAGTCAGAGCTGTTTTGACCCCTCCATCAACGAGAGACACGCATGGTGGCGCATCTGACCTATTACTATTGTGCCCAACCATTGTTGTTCCCTTCCCCTCCTCGTATGATGATTTCGTCGTTGGGCGGCACGGGGTGTGTCAACAAGGAGTGCTGAGATTAGCATTGGACTGGAATTTTCGGCATTAAATTCGAACACAATTTTCCGATTCGTCAGGAGAGAGAGAGAGGCAACTCGGCTGAGTTGGGTTTGTAATTCTTTCTGCTGCCTGAGACATTACACGTCCCACACACCTAGGCCTGGACGTATCCGACGAGGTGTGGTGTGTGGCAGAAGCGAGGTCATCGATGAGCTGTTTCGCTTTTCGTCTGATTGCATGGAAGTGCCCCTCCCTGCAACCCTCCGAAATTAGCTGGCTATCACAGTGTGCGAAATCTATGCAAGTCTCGGCTGCAGTCATCATGAGCCGTCCGGAGAATAGAATGCCACGGATCTGAGCCAGCCAGGATGGCATGGTATCGGATCTAGCCCCCAAAATTCATCTTCAAAGCGATGCTTGGCGTGCCTACGCCCGCCGAGGAAGCCTGATCTGATGCACGTGTGGATTCTTGACCAGATCTGATGATCTCCTCCAAGAACGCTCTTTGGTTGTTGCTCATGCCGCTTACGATCGCGCGGAAAGCTACAGGATCAATGGCAGCGAGCTCAAGGAGTCTTGCACTAGTCTCCTCGAAGGCCTCCCGGCCTTCTGCATTCGTCTTCGCAAGGAGTGCCGGAATGACCAACGCCATGGCGGCGGACACACGTTGCTTTTCAACGGTGGCGACATAGTGGCATAGCGATTGGCTGACCAGGGTCCTTGCTTGTTCAGGATCTTCGGGGTCTACGTTCATGATGAAAGTGATGAGGCGGGGGAGGAGATAACGCGCGATGCTTTGATCTGCGGCCGTACGTGTCGGTTGTACCAAAAGTGACCTGATGCAATTGGCCGCGATTTTGGCCGTCTGACAGGCGTTAGTTAATGCACAAGGACTGGCAGTGCGTCGAGGAAAGGGGGAAGAGGGACGTAAACAAGATGCGGTGTGGCAGTGAGATGAGAGGCAACATGAGAGATCAAGTGAGGGGTAGAGAGACGTACCATTCGGTCGGTCAGACAGTCAATAACCTCATCGAGGTAGCGAGCAACTAGTGGATCAGATGCAGGAAGATGGTTTTCTCCACCAGTGAAAAGGATAGTGGTGGCCAGAAGACAATTTTTGACGCAAGGCAAGGAGGTTGGGGCCTCACGCTTCTGTGCGTTGAGGTAGGTGGATAGGAAACGACGTAGGCAACCCAGTAGCTGGGTGTCTGTAGCTTTCGCGGCTTCGGCAGACGAGCTTCGCGAGGCGGCCATGGATTTGACAAATCGCTTGAGTGTTGCAAGGGACTGCGGTACAATCAACGCTTGGCAGCCAGATGTTGCCAGAGTAGTGGCGAATATATGGATGATGCAAGCGTGCAAGTCTGTTTTGATGACAGAAGGGAAAACTTCTGCTGCATCTACAAGGGCGTCCAACGATGTACGAATCAGATAGATTGCTTCCTCGTTCATCTGGTGCCTTACAGGTTGGTTGCCTGCAGACAGGTTTGGTAGGAGACCAGTGAGGACAAGCACGATGATCCTGGTGAGTTCGAAGAGTTGATCGATGTCTTCTGACAGGTCTGCCTCATCGGTAATGTGACGTCTTGCGGATGGGTGGGCCACAACGAGCGCGCTAGAGATGTCGATGATGGCCGTTTGAACTTCTAGCCCTTCAGTGAGTACCAGTCGATCGAGGAGGTCCATTGTCTCAGAGAAGACATCAGGGCGGTAAATAGCATGCCCGGATACGTTGGGATGTAGAATCTTCTTGAGGGCTCGTAGAATCTCAAGCGTTTGCTCCTGAGAAGCTAAAGGGTCTCCATGCCCAGGCCTGATAGCAAGTGCCTCGAAGGCTAAGCCGAATAGAACAAAGAAGAAGGCCACAGGCTCATCCCGGTAGTTGATGCCTTGGTTCTTCACTTGAGCGCTGACTTCTTGCTTTGCTGAATCCTTGCCATCGAGAGCATCGAACACCGAGTTGCTGTCTTGCTCAATGAGGCTCGCAATCGCGTCGACAAACTTGAGCCATGCATCTTGATAGAAGCGCAACAACGTCTCACGATTGAGGGCAGCGTAGATGGTGTCAAGGCTTCCAGATAGTGAGGGGGGTCCAAGTGTCATGGAGATGTCTGGCTCGAAGCGAAGTCGAGCAAATTCGCGCAGGCACTCTAGCCACAACGGCGTCAGAGTCCCGATGTGTGGTTTTAGAACATCGTGCAAGTACTTCTGCTCCGTGCTGGCTACCTGTAGCTCGGCCCATGCCGAGAAAACAGAGAGCTTGATCATAACCTGAGCATTGGAGCTCAGCCCGGTCAAGTCACCGATCCCAGCATTCTCGCCATCTTGTGCAAAGCTTTCAAGTGCGCTCACGAGTGTCTTGAGAATGCGACCCATACGCTCAACATCCCTGACGATTCCTATCGAAATGAAGCTGGCGCAGACATTAACCGCTTCGGCGGCGAGTTCTGGAGAGGAGTCGACGGCGAAGGCCGGTGTCAATGCGGAGCTGATCTGGGCTTGATATTGCTCGAGAAGCATGGCTTCATCAAAGTCTGGGTCAGGAACCTTGCCAAACATGCGCAACACGGCCCCAATGAGCTTCAATCCCCAGATTCGAAGTTCTGAAACACTGCCTGTAGATGCAGAGAAGGCCATGCGGACAACATCAGCGATCTTGGCTTGTAATGAGGCTTGACCTTCGCTCTCCCCATGAGCCATCACGTCCTTGGCTACTATTACGAACAAGTCGCTTACGCAGTTGAGTGCAAATGCCGTCACCTGCCACCGGAGCGGCTCAACTTCAGAGGTTGTAGGATTTTCTTTTTGCTGCTTAGCATCACCACCGGCAGAAGCGAAGCCTGCGACTTCCTCATCATTCAGATCGGGCAAGGCAGCCCCCTTGGATTTCGAGCTTTCATCTTCGCCTTGATTTCGAGCTCGGGTCATCTTTAACACGGTCTGGAACCGTTGGATCCATGTACCTGTCTCGGCAAGACACGTCTGGTGCGCCCAATTGCGGATGATGTTCATGATTCCGTCATGAGTAGGGACAGTATCGAGGACTAACCAAAGCTGCGCCTCAAAGCCCTCATCGGCCTCCCGCAGGACATCTCGTGGTTCTCTCCTCATGAGATTGTACAGCCCATCAATGGCCGAGTCTCTGAGCGAGATGTTCTCGACAGACAAGTACTTCTGGAGAAGCCTCACATAGTCTCCAAAATGCATATGGCCTGGTGCATAGACGGACAAATGTTCCAGGCAACCTAACGCTGCCTTTTGCACACGGAGGTCTTCCTCGTTCTCAAATTGGCCAATGAGGGTGAATATCAGCTCTCTAGACTTGGTTGCATCTTGCAAGTCAGGACCAAGAATATTGATCAACGAGTCCGTGCACTTCGCGATTGATGAGGTAGTGGATAGTTCCATCTCAAGATTCATAGTCATTGTCGCTGACACCTCACAATGGTGCGTCTCAGAAACATATAGCTGGGCCAACATCCCAAGAGTACTTGGCACGTATCCGGCAAAGCTCAGTCCGGCCGCGTCAGAAGCTAGGGAAAGAGCTTCTAGAGCCCAATAGTGAACAACAGGGTGAGGGTCATTACAAAGGGACATGAGAATGCTTAGAATAGTCTTCAAATGGTACCCAGCGGCCATTCCGCCCACTTTAGTCTGGATTGATCCAAGAGCCATTGCACACCCAGCACGGGCACTTGGCTCTCGGTTGCCAACAATGGTGTCAATGAGATATTTGACTTCAGTGTTGGTGAAAGCATTCCCGTACACATTGCAGAGACGTGCCACGGACGCGTAACCAAGGCTTCGTACATATTGATCAGTATCGAGTACGAAGTCTCGCACTATATCTTGTAAAAGGTTCTCGACAGCCATATTAGAGATATTTCCGGCAGGGGACTGAGTTTCCTTGACGCAAACCCTCATGGTCAACAGAACAGCCGTCGCTAGGTTGATGTTAATAGCTGCTTTTCGTCCCGGATCTCTTTGGAGAGAACCGGTTGAGGCAAATGTTTTAATCTGCTCCAGGATACTCTCTTGGACCTTGGCTGGCGTCAAAGGGAACGCGAATGCAAAAAGTTGGATTGCGCTGTTGATGACCTCGGTAGCTGGAGGGTCTGAAGTAGGTGACGATTCATTGATGCCCTCTACATAAAGAAGGCATGCGTCATGCTCCAAGCTACCACAGACCGGCGTTTTTGCCGCGTTAAGAATGGCTTCTTCCGGCGTATCGTATTCTTGGGGCTGCTGGCGGGAGCTGACATGCTGGCCAGGCAAATCCCGGACATCGAATCCTGACACGAGACCGGTAACACCAAACCCTGAGTTATCACCCACGTCCCAGATGGAGTCGAATGTGGCAGCCGTGTTTGCTATTGACGCGCTCAGAGAGCTAGGCTGGTAGTTGTCAGGGTCGGCAAACAGCGAGATGGCAATTGTGAGAAGGTTAGACTGCAAAAGAGACTCGCTGCTACCCGCAGGGCTGAGGTTGACAAGTTTGATATAACACTGGAGAACACGGCGTTGAACCATCAGGTCCAAGTCCTGGAGCTGCAATGCCCGTGTCAACCGTTGGGAAATATCTTCCGTTGTCTTCTTCAAAGGCAGAGTCTTTAAGAAATCTGTTGTGCTCTGGAGCATCGTCGCGATACGCTTCGAGACATCAACTGTCAATAGACGGCTGTTAAATTGAAGGAACGAGAGAATCGAACCGAGAGCACATTCTCGGACGTGGGTTAGGAAGGACGATTCGAGCAAGCTTCTCGCCGAGGTATTGTCTTTAGCTAAAGGCTTGGGTAGCGCATTCTTCCACAATAGCAGCAGTTGAGAGAGGTGGATTTTGACAAAATTTGGTCCCAGGGACATCAGACCGCCAATGAGAATCCATGCTACTTGGATTTGAGTGCTTGAGACACGGAGCTCCGACTGTCCGCTGGATTTAAGTAGATTTGTCGCCATCGTCAACACACGGCTATTGACATCTAGGGAGCCATAAAGTGGGCGAGATGGACTGGCACTCAGAGTTGCAGCCAACCCGTGGGCAAATCCAATACACCTTCTAGGCGAGTTTCGTCCGCTCCCAAGAAGGGACAGCTCTCGTGTGAGACTGTTCATACAGACTGAGAGGCAGGGAAGCAACTGCTGAGGGCAAGCCACGACGAAGACCTTCATGCAATATGAAGCATATACCTGTACCGAGTAACTCGGGTGCTGCAAAACTTGGAGCAGGCCGTCCCTGCATGAGTCTGCGAAGCTGTTGGCAGCTGATCCCAGTGACTTGATGAGCGAGGCCACGGCACTCAATGCTGTGATCAACGTATGCTTGGATGGTTCTGGTCTCTCAGCCAACACCTGCGGGTAATTCTTCAAAATGTCGTTGATTAGGGATTTGGCCGCCACGATCTGGCTAGATTCTCCCAGGATTTTGCGGCCAACGACATCCTGAATGATGGTATCTACGATCCGTCGAGAGACGAGCAGGCGATACCGATGGTTGCTAATGGTATTGGATCCCAATATCTCAACCGATAGGCATTCAACAATCTTGATGTAGTTCCTCTCGACAATCCTTTCACCCAATCGATGGAGAAGTTGGGTACAGCAAACGCCGAGGGCCCCACGGACCCTATTCGAAGAGCTTGACTTGGTAAAATATCCGGAAAGAATAGAAATCATATCACGTAGCGAAATAGCAAGATCATTCGGACGCTTGGCACCGGGCGCTGGACTCCCAGACCTAGGGGGAAGACCGTCATCTTCTGTTGCCCCCGAAATTGCTGGATGTGTCGAAGATCGTTTGAGCTTAGCCTTTGACTTTTTGCCTTTCGTGTCCCCAGCAGCCGCCTCTGAGTACCCCTGGAATAGAGCCTCCGCCAGAGAGTCCGCAGCGGCTTGTCGCACGTGAACAGACAAAGCATCGAAGGCCTTGACCATGGCTGATTCCAGCTTGTCAAAGTCGCTCGAGTTCCGGAAGTAGGTCGTGTCTCGCACAAGAGTCTTCAGGCAGCGGCAAGCAGACGTCTGGACCAAGGATCCCTTATCACTTGTCGCATAGCTGCGCCCCTGCCTCCAGATGTCCCGAGCAGCTACCTCATCCATGAGACCCTTGACCATGCCTACGATCTTCTCCAGGGACACAAAGATGGCAGCCCGGAGCCCGGCATTGCTGGACGATGCCTTCAGAAGCTTCAGCAAAGTGGAGCAAGCAAGCTGGTGCAGGCCGACGGCGCTGTCTCCAGCAGCAGCAAACACATCGCCAAGACAGCTGACAGCCGCATGCTTGGTTCGCACATCGCTCTCCGTCTTGACCTTACCCCCTGAAAGGATCGCGATCAGCTCATTGATTGATTCGAATAGCAGCTTCCTGTCTCCAATCCCAAATACGTGGGCCAGGCACCGCCCAAGGTTGTTGCGTATTACTCTCGACGGCGCCGGGGAAGATGAAATGACCTGGAAGACGTCTCGCTTGATGAACAGCTGTTGCGCAGTGCAGCCGTCTCCGTCCAGGGAAAGAACATGCTTCGTCAACTTCGACACGGCCGTGAGGAGAAACAGCTCTTGTTGTTCGGAAGGAAGAGAGCTGATCTTGCGCAGATCAAAGTCTGTATTGTGAGTGGTGCCTATGGGAGTCTTTGGTTGTTCCGGGAGGCCTGGTGATGGAGCCGGAGCTTCCACCTCCTGAGAGGAGGACATGGCATTCGATATCGGGATTGGGTATCTTTTCTTGGGTGCCGGCACCTATATACTTCGTGGTTCTCGTGTATTATGGGTGTCGTGTGTGTGTAGTTGCGAACTGGACAGCTCCGCCCTTTGAAGATGGCGCCTGCTTTGCTGTGTAGGGGGGTGCCCAATTATCGGCGGAGGTGTTCCGTCCCTCCTATAAAATACCGGTGTCGAGGTGGGATTCTACAACGCTATTAGCGCCGTCAGTCTCACGTAGGAGCCGGCCATTAGCAGGAAATCCTAGCGCATGGACGCTGGAGCTTAGCACGGACCGCAGTGGATGTGGGATGGATGGAACTTGGCGAAAATCACTATGCAGCTACCTAATCCTCAGTATGAGATGCTAGTGCAAGCTCCTCGAAGCATAGAGAACTCTCTACCCTGCCGCCAGATCGCTTGAAGCGATCGAATAACCCATGATCCTCCAGAGGCAGACGCTGCGGCGTCTAGCAGCTATCCATCAGAAATCCCTCCTCTGGGATGTAGCCCCAATTCAGTCTTCAATCTGCCGACGATGTCTAGAACGATCTTTTGCGACAACGGCTCGTTTAGAAGCAGGACACAACAAATGGTCCAAGACAAAGCATATCAAGGCTGTCACTGATAAGAAGAAGATGATCGATCGGACCAATTTCGTCAAGGTCATTACCATGTACTCGAGGATGTATGGTGAGAATCTGCAATTCAATCCGCAACTAGCTGGAGCGATTGCGGCTGCAACAAAGGGTACGTAAGTCAGCGCATCCATGTGCAGTATCTTCTAACCATTGGGCAATTACAGCAAGTGTTCCAAAGTCGATCATCGAGGGTGCAGTAGCCAGAGGGCAAGGCCGGTCAACATCAGGCGCCCAGCTCGAGCCCATGACGCTCGAAGCGCTCATCGCACCCAACATCGCCATCATTGCCGAGGCCGAGACGGATAACAAGATACGCACAATAAGCGACCTGAAGTTAGTGGCCAAGAGATGCGGAGCAGTGGCGAGTGCATCGGCATTCTACTTTACGAAACGAGGTCGTACGATCTTCAAGGCTAAGGAAGGCGGGCCGACATTGTCGGAAGTTCTGGAGGAAGCGATCGAACACGAAGGAGTTGAGGACATCGAAGAACTCCCAGAAGGTGGGTTCGTGACTTGGACGGAGCCCGCCATGCTCACCTCAGTTACTGAAGCTGTCTCGCGCAAGTTTGGCCTTGAATTGATGGAGTCTGATATCATTTGGGCACCCAATGAGGATACCATGGTCGATATGGATTCATCTGCGACGGCTTCGAACTTGAGCGACCTGCTATCCGGCTTTAAGGTATATCCCGAAGTCCGGGCCATATATGTCAATGTTCGTCAAGGATCTCTCTCGGATGAAGACTGGGAAAAAGTAAACGGGTATTTAGACATTTAGGTAGTGTAGAGTACAGTGATTCATAGTGTACAACATAAATAAGTAGATACAGTAGTTTTCATGACCGAGGGCATCCGAGACCGAATCAAAACGCCATCCCAACCTCATTGAGCCTGATTAAGCTGCTCACGCCATGGTCATTGACGGGCAAAGCCAAATACTTGGTTTCCATGTCCAACCGAGACAGGGTTTAGTGAGAATTATCGTCATGCTGTGCCTGGGCTTGCAGCGCTGCTTCGCGCTCCCTCTGCTCGGCCTGTTTGATCCTTTGTCGTGCAACAATTCGTTCGTACTCGGCCCTAATTTCATCGCGGTCCTTTGGAATAGTGTTCGACTGCTCGGCAGATGGCCAGAAGCCAGGGACGGAGAAACGCTCCTCGATATTCGTTCCGAAATAGTACATGATCCCAATGGGGAACGAGAGGTATGTGCCGAACTGATGGGTTGTGGTCAGCTGCATTGTTTTGCATAAGCATACATATTGCGTTCATGGCCATCATACCTTGAAAAGTTCAAGACCGAATTTGACCATTTTGCACGAGTCTTTCGATATCCCAAGTCGTGGTGTTTGTCTGTCTTGAATTGCTGTTGAACGATAGCCTGATGTTCCGTCATAAGACATCAATTACGCCCATTTCTTCTGAATGGATGACTAATACCCGCCATCCGGATTGGTGGGCCCACCTCTCGGTGAATTTGAAGCTACAAGACGGATTGACTGACAACATTCCTAAATATTGACTCTGTCCTGCTAAGCATAATAAAGACCCAATTGGTGGAGTCGTGGGGGTTCATGAATAGTGCGTGCGTAAACAGTATCACAGTATATTTTACACAGAGAAATGCTGCGTAGGCTTGCACGTGTAATGTATTTAATCACAATCACAAGCTTCTTTAGCTAATGAGAATCTGAAGCTCGAGTACAGACTAGTACAGAATGAAATACAACATTTCTACTCCAGTAGCCGTGGCCCCTCCCCAAGGGCTTGGAAAATCATGACCAAGTAACCTTATGTCTTGTTGAATGCCTGCCCACCCCAGGTGCAAACAAAAACGCCGCCAGAATGCATTCCATATCAGATTTGTCACATACACACCAGTAAACCCACCCATGAAAAAAACACCACCATGATTTGAAAGATAATGTGGAAATTAAATCAAGAAAAATTCTGTCACCCACTTCAAACCCGGGTGTTTCTATCGCCACGTGCTTCCTCCATCATCATTCTCTCTGTCAGACTGCGGGGGGTTCCGGAGAAGTCGCCTTGGGCTAAGCTTGCCCGAAAGCTGTTCAGGTCACCTTCGTCAACTCCGGTGCGTCCATCCAACCCCCCTACGAACGTATTGAAATTCCCAAGTGAAGCAACTTGAGCATGCAAATCTGGATCTTTCACAATTGGCATAACCACAGGGCGCCCCTTGTATGATCCTAGGGACCCAACAGCGAATTTTGCTGAGGTAGGTGTAATTGGGCTAGATGATTTTGAAATCGCAATGGCAGGCGATTTACCGTAAGGCGATGGTTCGGAAACATCGTTGTATCTGTTGCGAGGAGAAGGGGGTGGTGACTGTTCGGGAGACTCAGGCTTGGGTGGTCTTGGCTGTCGTGGTCGTGGAGGCGCACTCAGGCCACCGGTTTCAAAATGGAACATGTCTTCAGACTCAAACTCGTCTGGAGAATATAGATCCTTATCCTCGACAGTCTTGGTTGAGGAGCTAGATTCGTTTGTGGGTAGCGGGCTGATGAGTTCCAGTCTCTCCCCATTCTCTTTGGGCGCCTCCGTCACGTTTGTCTCCTTCGGCTTTTCACTTATTGATGAGCGAGATTGGCCCATGGATAGGAATTCTTCGTCGGAGGAGTCTTCACTCTCAGCCCCCTGATTGATACCTCCCGAGTTATTAGCTGTAGCAAGGCTCTGGCGTGTCTCGGGAGCCTTTGTCGTCGTTGGTAGTGCGGTAGGCTTGACCACCACTGAGTTTGCTGCCGCCATCGTCGCTTCGGTTGTCACACTTGGAACAGGCGCAGCACTGGTTGGTACAGCTGATAGCGGGCTTGACGAAGTCGAAGTATTCTCGTCAGACGCGGTTGGGTTGACAACAGTCCAAACAGTGCCCTCGTCTAAAGGCGCTCGTGATAGAGCTCTTAGGGCATCTGAGGAAGATATCTTGCGGGGTGGGAGTCCTATATTGAAGGAAGAGTCGTCTTCTCCGGTGCCGTCACCCAAGATCTCGTCAGAGGATCGCGAGTTATCCGATGCGCCGGGAGAAGTTATTCGTGGGAGAAAAGGATCACCGGTTTGCGGCGACGCAGTGGGTAGAACCTCGGCGCCCTGAAATTCGAAGCGAACTCGACGAGGACTTGGCTGGGACTGCTTGGATAAAAAGGATGACCGGCGTAGGGCGCTTCGTGGTGTTTTGGTTTCGCTTTTATCAGATCCTGGAGAGAGTGGTGTGTCATCGGTGGCACGTCGACCATTGCTTGGTCGCCTTGCGGCGGACTGCGAGGCTGCCTGCGCTGATAACTCGGACTGTGTCTGTGCCTGTGCCTGTGACGTGCCCTGCGCGTGGCCCCCGGTCTCGCTGGGCCCCTCCATGTCTTGGATCCCTTTCTGCTGATCAGCTGAACTGGGCGCTGCAGCGTCATTGCCCATTCCACTGCCTTCTACCATTGGCATAGGCAGCGACTGAACGGTTGGCAGCGAGCTGGGCACTGGAGGCGAGCTCTCTAATAAAGGGAGGAAAAAGGGAGTAAACAGTCCCGGGAACTCGTGCTCTCGATCATGGGAATTGTCCGCGGCTACGGGAGGGCCGAATACGGCGGGTGGCGGAGAAGGCCGGCCGGAAAGAGATGATCGCCCAGGTGAGTCAGCCTGGTGAGCGTGAGCAGGACGAAAACCAGCAAGCTTGAGCTCTGGGCTGAGAGCTGGATACCTGTCACTCAGCGATGCTTGAATTGACTGCTCGACCTCGTCGGCGATAGCGGGTGTGACATCGTTGAGCGTCTGGTCGTAGTAGCGCTGAAATTCGACAACCAGTTCGTGGCGGTAGGCCTGAACCTTGTGCTCGAGATCGCCTAGCTTGAGCTCGAGGCTCTGAACCAAGCGCTCCCGCGTTGGTTCCATTGCGCCGATACCGATCAAGATGTGATAGGAACTCCCGCAAACGGTATGAGCAGCCTCCTTGCAGTTGGTCTCAGCATGGCGCACGCCTCGGGGCAAGCTGGGAGGGAAAATGGGAGACGGGCGGGACAATTGGCGCCTATCTACGAAGGTGGTTTTCGCCGCCTTTCTCAAGTGCGATTTTTCCAGATGCCATGGTACATGGGTTAAATAAAATACTTTGGTGCTAACGGTACCGGCCAAGCACTACTAATCATCCATACGATAGTAGGTACCTGGACCATTTATTATCACGCTACGGCCAGTAATCGGCAGCGCAGGCGATTGATGCGAGCGGGGAGAGGGCAAACAGCGCAAACAGGGCAGGTAATTAATATTTGGAGGCTGGAGACGTGCTTGTGGCCTGTGATCCGACCTGGTGTGGTCCGTGCACGGCAAGGCGCCCAAGTACTGCACCGTACCTGGTACCTGCCAATGTTGACCATCAGAGTTGGCAAAGATTCGAACACAGATGAATCGAGCGTAAGAAATTAATCTCCGAGCTCGTTCTCTCACATATCAACTTGATCGTGGCGGATGTACATCCCCGCCAATATATTGGAAAACTTCGGATCAGCCTTATCGGCCTCAGTCTTACGCTAATAATCTTGCTAAGAGCGTAAAGCGAATATCTAGTTTAGCTTTGCATAAGGCAAGAAATGGAGGATGGCTGGAATGCGCTTTCTCGGATTTCCAGGCCGTCTACGTTTTGTGAACAAGCGTTTGCACTGTTTTAAGGGCTCCCTGGCCACGGACAACGTTAGAAGTAGCAGGTACCACTCACTGGCAAGTTATAGAAGAAAGAACTCGCCGCATTAATCCGATCTCAATACATGCTTTTCCCCACAAGATACCCAAGTACTATCGGTAGGCGTTTCGAGTAGTAAATTTTCCCAACTCACTGGTTAAGCAGTAACAGTTGACAGATAGGTAGGCTCAGTCTGGATTCGAATTTGCTGAGTCGGACAGAAGCCCCAGCTTCCACTTAGTTTCTCATCTTGTTTTCCTTCTCTTCTTAGTGCGAGCGTTGATGGAGAAATCCCTGGGGTTCGAGCACCTCATCAACACTTACCACGTGAATACCTGGAGAGAGGCACACTGTCATGATGTCCAGTTGACCGTTTTCTGTACCTCTGTGTACTTGGGACCCCGCGTCCGGTGGGATGCGCTCTCATCGTGGGGGTAAAAGAAGTGGAACGCCAGACCAGGGACAACACCCCTGCCACGATGTTGAGCACGAGCATCAGATCAGCCTGGTTGCCTAGCATTTGCTGGGAGAACTCTATCAGCTGGCATACAGGGGGTCCAATCCTAAGGATCTAATCAACGCCAATGCCATTATCAGCATCTAATGACATTCATCTTCAACATGCCGTGATAAATTTCTCAATTGGTGTTATCAATATCCGGTTACTGTTGAACTGATTCTAGGTCCTCTGCCCCGCTTGGTATTCAGCATTACGGAGCTTGCCGCGCTCAGATGATGTCTAAAAATATTGATAGAACAATAACTCTGTGGTGAAGATTGTCACATAACACTAATTTGCCACCAGTGGTGGAAGCGACTATCAGAAGCCACGGTGGTAATGATAGTCAATCCAATACTGCCCAAGATCAGCTATTGACGTGGTTCATCCGTCATGTACTGTGTTGCTGTCAGAAAAACAAGGATCGCAAGAGCCACCGATGTAGACAAATGAATGACAGTGACAAAATACTAATATTCTTCCCATTGTATATTAATGATACTGAATCTCGGAAATTTGAACATTTTAAGCTATTGTCTCTCAATATTGTGACCTGTCTTAGAAGGTTAGAATATCGAAACATCTTTACGATGCCTATTTCCTGACAACCACTCATTAGATTCACAGTAGCTTCTGTTCGCATGCGCTCCCCTTTTTCAGTGTACAACTGCTAACAGGATCAAAGTTTCTATCCCGATACTAACCAGCAAATTAAATTACATAGTGACCTCAGGAATAATAAGTAACGAAACATTGCAGAGAGCTATAGAGGTGGGATCAATGTAGTGAATCTATGATATCTTCTCTGCGTTCTGAGTGCACGCTTAGGGTAGTTTAAACCCAATAATTTGTAATCCAGAATTTCTCACCACAAGATAGCGAGGTTTGTAGTAGCTGAACTTGCACCATTGTCAATAAGAAATGCGGGCAATTGTTGGAGCTCGAAGCTCAGCTTGACCTCGAGTTCACCGCCTACCGCATTGAGCTCCACTGCACCCGATTCTGCCACGCTTTACTGTTGCTTCTCGCGTAGCTCGGCCGCTAAGCTCATGCGATACCTTTCAGGCTCTCGAATAATTTAATAGACAATCAACCCAAACAACAATTTCAGGATCGGAAGCAACCCTAGACCACTCGCAATGTCGACAATCACCAAGGATGCCCTCCAGTCAGGCAACGAGCCGATCGTCCCACTCCCCTTCAACGCGAATCAGCCTGCCAAAGTCACCCTGTATCCGCTCTCCAACTACACCTTCGGAGTGAAAGAAACTCAACCAGAGGAAGACCCATCCGTAATCGCTCGACTAAAGCGCCTCGAGGAGCATTATTCTGAACATGGGATGCGACGTACCTGTGAGGGTATCCTAGTGTGCCACGAGCACAACCACCCGCACATCCTCATGCTACAAATCGCCAACGCTTTCTTCAAGCTCCCCGGAGATTACCTGCGACCCGAAGATGATGAAATTAAAGGATTCAAGTCTCGCCTCGATGAAAGGCTTGCCCCGGTTGGCCGCTTAGGAGAGGGCGAGGAAGCAGGCGACTGGGAAGTTGGCGAATGTCTCGCTCAGTGGTGGCGACCGAATTTCGAGACCTTCATGTACCCGTTCGTCCCCGCCCATGTGACAAGACCAAAGGAGTGCAAAAAGGCGTATTTCATCCATCTGCCAAAGACAAGTCTGTCTCCACCAGAGCTCTACTGCTCATCTGTTATCCCCCTTCACGAACTCACTGACAATGAATGATGCAGAGGTGCTCAGCGTACCCAAGAACATGAAGCTTCTTGCGGTGCCGCTCTTTGAGCTTTACGACAATACCGCGCGATATGGACCACAGCTCTCTGCTATCCCCCATCTGCTTAGCCGTTACAACTTTGAATTTGTTGACGAGAACAACAACATTGTTGCTTCCACACCGGGTGCTGGCGCTCCCGACGGATACGTACCAAAAACCAAGGTCTTGGTTGGTGATGACACAGACATGAAGGAAGAGAACGGGGTGCAAGCTTGAATTAATTATGAACTTGAGATGGCCAGGCGTTGGTTTTTGGCGTTGTTGAAAAATATATTTGCTGCTCTGGTTGCAGCCCCATTCCTTGCCCCAGCCCCAATTCCCTGCCCATTTAGATGCTACGCCTTTTCTCCTTGAATAGTGGCTACGATACGACGGTTCTGCCTGTCTGCCCGGAACTCCAAATAGTATATACCTTGCCATGTTCCAGTTGTCTGGGTTCGATTGGATTAGCCACAAGGTCGGATGTCAGATTTCACGGGAAAGCTCACCAATCTTCCATCCTTGATGGGAATTGTTACACTGGCCCCGATCAGAGCAGATTTGACATGGGCCTAGCACATGGTTCTATTAGATTGGTCTCTCAAGTAGGGAGTCGGAAGCTAGACGTACCGGCATATCGTCAGGACCCTCGGCGCTAAATCACCATATATCAGTTATTGAATACGGATGCATAGTGGGAACGAAGGGCTTACTCGTGACGATACAGTGCCTCGCCTCTGGGGCCTGCCTCTGGGACGATGCGGTCCAGCGAGTCGCTCATGTCTGCCCTAACATCCTCATCGACTTTAAAATTATACCATTAGAACTCTGCTTTGCCATGAATTTAGAACGGAAACATATCATACAATTCTCATTTAAACTCAAGGCGGCGCTCGTGTGCTGAATGAAAAGATTCAACAGTCCAACTTTGTAACTCCTGATCTCAGGCAAGGCCTGCAGAACTTGGTCCGTCACCAAATAGGATCCGCGCGACTTCGCCTGGAGGCTGAACTGCTTCTGAAACCAGGTCATGGTTGTGGGTGCGACAGGTTCGGAGGGAGCTCTTGCAAATGGAAGAATGCTCGCAGGGATGGTCCAGATGGAGTGGAATAGACCGGGGAAGAAGGCAACGAAGAGGAAAATGGTAAACAGAAGAGTCGTGCCGACCGAAATTGTGTGGGATTGTTGAGGCATCTTCACAGCGCGCGGAGCAATGATGTCGTAATGTGGGTCTCCAGCTGCCAAAATGTACTATCTTGGAGGTAAAACAGCCTCTTCTGGGTAGGTAAGCAAATGAGGTTCAAGCAATTAGCAATACCATGGTATCAGTATACATCCAACTCCAACACCTCAATCGAGTGCGCATTTGCCGAATGCTAAACACTAGGTATCTCGTTGGCCCGGTCAAATGGCCAGTAAAAGAGCGATATACTTTCTTGAGGCCCCCATCTCAGTTTACGATAGCGACAGCTAGAGAGCATGCACGGGCAGATTCAAGAACAGTGCTTTGATTGATGCAAAAATATACACTCCTTCCTCAGATATCTAAATGATATCAGGAATTGATTCAGGTTTTAGCCGACCCAACAATACACTGACTTCCGATGAACATTGTCTATCCAGCTCCTCCTTCTATTTCATTGGCGTTCATGCAAGTGGGTAGGCAGTCTCGGGCAGCGACTCGAGGTGCTTTCGGTGGTGCTCATTAGCCTGTCCATTGATTAGCAAAACGTATATTCCGTTGTGACGAGATGAACGACAGTACGTACGTAAGGAATGCCGCAGTAGTTGCAGGATGAGATCTCAGCCTTGTCGGTATTGATGAAGATCCTGGGGTGTCCGGAAGGACCGCCGCCGCCGTCACAGGCAACAATTCGATCGTGCGTCCATCGTACAGGCTCCTTGTGAATCAATTCAATAGCAGCCTTGGGTTGAGGCTATTCAAGGTGTTAGCATATTCCTCCATCTCTTCCCCTTGGCGTGATTTCGCGTACCTGGACGGAAAAGTCGGTCTGTTCGAAACGGGGGCCGGTCATAGCTTGTGATCGTGGCTTCTGGCTTCGTGACCAGACGCCCAGTCTATTGGGCGCCTGGGTGATCTCGACAGGCTTGGACTCATCGGCGACAGCTGGGGAGGTGGTCTTTGCGGCCGTGGGCACAGCCTCGAATTGGCGGGCAGAGGTGGTGAAAGCCCTGCGGGAAACGCGCAGGCCGCGAGCAAGGGATCCGACGGCCTTCAATTGAGAAGAAGCCATTGTGAGTGAGTGTACGTGCGAGGCGTGCGAGTTGGGATGCGGTCGTCCGGCTCTCAATCCGGGACGGCTTGAAGAGGTGCAACAGGCCCGCTGCGACATATGTGTGCGGACTTTTAGTTTTTCCGGCGCTCAATGCCGCGACAAAATTTAGTGCCCATCACGAAATCCGACTCCAGCCCAAATCTTAAAAGTTGTCAAGAGCTAACATACGTGCGCATTTGACGCTGAGAAGGCAAAACACGATCATCATGGCGCCAGAAACCCCCAGAGGAGTCTCTTCGAGGCTCTTGACGATGAAATTCATGCAAAGAGCCGCTGCGACGGCATCATCGCCGACAACACCCGGGTCCGACACCGACGGCCATTCAGCTAAGAAGCGAAAACTTAACCGCGATGCGGCGGCACAAGCAAAAATCATCGCGAATATCGACAAAGCCTCTATACAGGCGGCAATTGATCAACGAGAAGCAAAGCGCCAGGCCGCACTAGAGAAACACTCCGTGCTTGACACTCACTGGGTTTTGGATACTAATTGGGATAAGAAACCCCTTGGTAAACCGCAGTCGCAGCCACTCAAAGTTGTCTACGTTGGATACGGTGATGTTGATTCATCGGATGATGAGTCACAGGATGATCCTAAGTGCGGGCGAACTTCGACACAGAACTACAAGCAAGCCCCAGCTGGTGTAAGTCAAGCCGAACAGCAACGGCTTTATACTCACCTCTCCACAGATCAGGAACTGACCTCTATTACAGAAACAAAGCCAGAAAAACACATCAGACGGTGAAGAGGATTCACAAGACGACTCTTCAAGTGACGATGATTCGGACGATCTACATAAGAGCCATGCAAACGGCGATAGCCCACTCTCACGCAGACGAAAAGATCCAGCAGCAAACCCCAGACAGAACACGGAAAATTCGAAAGCAAAAGAGTTCCGCGACAAGCGGAAGAAGAAGGAGGTCCAGCTCAGTAAGCTAACCTCCATATCATCAGGTGGCATATCTTCAGGCGGCGATGCCTCAAACCGCAATAAGGCCTTGAAATGCTACAGCTGCCACCAAGTCGGCCACAGAGCTTCCGATTGCCCTAATCCAAGCTCAAAGGGCCAGAAGAAAAGAACCTGAGCCGCCCTGTCTGGTGATGTGCGTCTCATAAGCTACAAAGCTCTCTGTTCGTTACGTCGTATGACTCATCCCAGCAATTTCATGATTATCCAAACCTTTGACATCGCACGGCAATCCATACGCTTCGGAGCCAAGTCTCATCAGAAGCGCGAAGGTAGGGTCGTAATGTTCGTTGTTAGCGTCTGGATAGCACTCTTCAAATGCCGGTAGATGCTGGATGTTGTGCCCCACTATCAACGTGGGACAAGCTCGATGCGCAGGTGCCGGTGGGCAAGACACTGCGAGCAATATTATCGGCCTGGAGCCAGTTAATACACTCGCGGTCGGATAGATAAGGACTGTCTCGTTCGCATCTGGATGGTACAAATCATCATGGTTTCATCGTATCGCGGCGCATTAGAGACCTCGCCTAAGAAGGTTAAAAATATCATTGCCGAGCCTATATAATTCAATAAAATGGCACACTTACAGAACCAGCCGAAGCCACCCACCATCTTGAACTCATGTCCAGAACACGGCCGAAGACGGAGCTGAAACACCCTGTGTGTTGTGAAATGGTTACACCTCGTGACCAACATGAACCAGCCATTGACTGGCCTCTCGATAATTAATCCATGCAAAACCGAAGGGCAAAAGATCCGGATCATGCAAGGGGGCGGAGACATGGGCTGGAGCTTTCGCAGACCGCCCAGGAAAATGAGAACACGCTGTCGTCTCCCACTGGCTTGATGGGGAGCTTCCAGAAGGCCAGGACCAAGACTGGAATCGGAGTGCCTGTGGCGCTCGGCATCCCGTGACTCGAGACATGATCTATCAAAAATGGCTAGTGAAACATGGTCGGGTTCATATTCGTGTGCCGGTGGCACAAGTTGCCACGATGCGCAATGAATGACAAGGTGGAAATTCGCCGGCTCATAGAAATGTAGAATTGCGAGAAAGGCTATTGCCCAACATGTAAATCAGTGTTCATCATTAATATCGTGAAACTCATGGCTGCCAAGGGTGGTTCCGAGGATGACGTAAAGAATCCTGATAACGAGGCTGAGGGGTGTTCGACTGGGCTTAGTTGAAGAAAAAGAAAAAAGAAAGGTCAAGTCCGAGCATGGATGGAAAGAACATGATGGGCCCCTTGCATCCGCTATGTTGGTGCATGGTTGTGAGAGTAAGTAGCCAGCGCCTGAGTCGTGACAGCAATCGTGCTAGGAAGTAGCGAACACCATCATTCCAATCAGCGTGCGATTTCAACATCTGGGGTCGGATGATGCAAGGACAGCACCAATTGTCGAATCCCCGCGCGACCTCCAAGTGCGAAGACCCACAAAGCACGATATCAGCATACCCAATTAGGTACAATTAGGAGGCAGAATATGGCCAAGGGGTTAAGCAAGGTCCATAAATTCAGCCTTCATCGTGAAGTACCTACTTTATTACAGAGGGAGGGCAGATAGACAGTGGAGGTACTATTAGTTCCGTTGCTGCACGAACCTGCAGCTCGATGTAAGGTATCGTACTATGTACGAACAGAGCAGAGACATTCCACCTAATAGAATGCAACCTCTGCATTCCTCCATGTTCCATTCATCATGGCGAGCTCAATAGTACGCAATCCAAACGCCATGCAGACGCCCCTGGCATGCTCTCGGGTGCGCGAAGCACAGGTACAATAACTTAGGTTGCCAGGGAATTGGTATGAAGGTACCTACCTTACCCAGGCAGGCATATCCCTACCTCGTACCTACCTACCTAATAAGCCACGGCAGGTGCATGTACGCTCAGGAACCGTCTTTGGTGGGAGGGGGAAAAAGCAAAGAAAGATGTGGCAGGCGGGAGGGAGAGAAGAGGAAGGGAGGCAACCCTCGTGTTTGTTTGCAAGGGATTTTGCAAAAGACAGAGAGAGGGGGAGATGAAAGGAAGAAATTGTGTAATGGCCGGCTTGTAGTTTTGCCTGATGTGAGGTTGCCACTCTCTCTGTATTAGACTTTGAAGCGTTGCCCACCCAGCCCGTTTTACGATGGTGGCGGTAAGAACGGCCGTCGCTACCTGTCGAGAAGGTACAGTACGTACTCCCTACCTTATCTTACCTCCATGGACTTCGTGAAAATTCTGCTTGACGCGAAAGAAAAAAAATCTAAAAAAAAAACTGATTCATTTCATTGCCACATAATAAAAGCCAATGGGGAGGCCACATGCCATTCCGGTCACCTCGGTCCGCAGCAGTGAAAGGAGAGAAGTATCCCGAACCAGTAGACAGTTTATTAGGGCCCAATGGTCGAAGAAGCAAACCCAGGCTAAGCGCTCCTCCAACCCCAACAATTCCGTTGATTACGTCGAAGCCTCGACCGTCGATACCTCCTTCAGTGGAGGCTCCTGCGACCACGCCTCGACAACCATCAAGGTTCCGCGTGGAGCACCCACTGCACTCCCTCCAACATAATTAGAGATCCGAGACTCTGGCGATAGCACAAACACCCCCACAGCACATCCCACACCGCACAAAGATCAACACAAGCACGAGCACAGGGGGCAACACACAATCGGATTGGATTCGGGACTAGCATCAAAGGCCTACCTAGCGCGGGTGGATCCCTCAGTCTTTATACTGTCAGGGGAGGCGACACCAATATCTTGCAGCCAAGGAGTCCGGGACGGACACAGTTTATCCCACCAACTCATATCTGAAACTCGTTTCGTCCATATCTGCCACTTCTTTGTCTTCACTCGCCTATATCTCCCCCTCCTGTTCCCTCTCCCCGCCCATCTCTCCTTGCCAATTCCATCAACTATAGGACAATTGGCGAGCCATGCCTCCTTCCGATCCCCCGGCTTCGGCGCCCAGGCCGTCGCACGCTGTGTTGCTCACCGACACCCTGGAGAAGCCATCGGTGGATGATCGCAACTACCGTGTGGTTCGTCTCGCAAACCAGCTCGAGGTTTTGTTAGTTCATGATCCGGAGACGGATAAGGCCAGTGCCGCCCTCGATGTCAATGTCGGAAACTTTAGTGACGAGGAGGGTATGCCGGGTATGGCTCATGCAGTCGAACATGTAAGTGGCATCCAGAGTCTCTCTTCTTCTTCTTCAGCCAGCGTCGCCCTGTGGCTAATCGACGCATAATCTAGCTTCTTTTCATGGGGACCAAGAAGTTCCCTGTGGAGAATGACTACAGCCAGTACCTGTCATCAAACTCCGGCAATTCTAACGCATATACCGCCTCGACGTCCACTAATTACTACTTTGAAGTAGCTGCCAAACCTGCTGATGACAGAGAGCCAACAGAGGAAAATCCATCACCCCTCCGCGGCGCTTTGGATCGTTTTGCCCAGTTCTTTATTGAGCCACTCTTTCTCTCGAGCACTCTTGACCGAGAGCTCAAGGCTGTTGACTCTGAGAACAAGAAGAATCTGCAGAATGATACCTGGCGGCTTCACCAGCTGGACAAGTCCCTGTCAAATCCCAGGCATCCATACTGTCATTTTTCGACAGGAAACTTCGAGGTTCTCAAGACAGAGCCGGAAGCCAAAGGGATTAATGTGCGTGATAAGTTCATCGAGTTTCACAGTCAACACTATTCTGCCAACCTGATGAAGTTGGTGGTGTTGGGACGTGAGTCGCTTGACGTGCTGCAGAAGTGGGCGGAGGAATTCTTCTCGGGAGTGGTCAACAAAGAACTTCCCCAGCAACGTTGGGATACAGAGGTTCCTTTCCAAAAGCAAGATCTTGGCATGCAGTGTTTTGCCAAGCCAGTCATGGACTCTCGTGAGCTCAATTTGGTTTTTCCATTCATCGACGAGGAGCTCCTTTATGAGTCCCAGCCCAGCAGATACTTGAGCCATCTCATTGGCCATGAGGGGCCTGGAAGTATCATGGCCTACGTGAAATCTAAAGGTTGGGCCAATAGCCTGTCCGCTGGTGCATATCCCGTCTGCCCAGGCACGCCTGGTTTCTTTGATATTTCTATCCGATTGACTGAGGAGGTATGTTTACACTAATGACAATAACCGCCCTCACGCTACCTTGTACTAATACGCGATCAATAGGGCCTAAAGCAATATCCAGAAATTGTGAAGATTATTTTCCAGTACATCTCAATGCTACGAGAATCGTCCCCCAAGGAGTGGATATTTGATGAACAGAAGGGCATGGCCGATGTTGACTTCAGGTTTAAGCAAAAAGTTCCAGCCAGCCGCTTCACGAGCAGAACTGCATCAGTGATGCAGAAACCTATTCCCCGCGAATGGCTTTTGAGCGGAAGTAGCAGATTGAGATCGTTTGATCCGAAATCCATCCTAAAAGCATTGGCTACCCTCCGCCCTGACAACTTGAGAATGACCATCGTCTCTCAAAAGTTCCCTGGGGACTGGGATAAGAAGGAGAAGTGGTATGGAACCGAGTATAGATATGAGAAGCTACCGGAGGATCTTTTGCAATCTTTCGAGGCTGCCTTCACAACTCCTCCCGGAGACCGCTACGCGGAGCTTCACCTACCACACAAGAATAACTTCATCCCTAAAGAACTTGAGGTTGAGAAGAAGGATGTTCTACAGCCTGCTATAGCGCCCAAGTTGCTTCGCAACGATAGCCTTGCCAGGACGTGGTGGAAGAAGGATGATACGTTCTGGGTGCCCAAGGCGAATGTATACGTCAGCCTGCGGAGCCCGATTATTTACGCATCAGCCGAAAACGTGGTCAAAGCAAGGCTGTTTACCGAACTTGTACGGGACGCTTTAGAGCAGTACGCCTACGATGCCGACCTCGCAGGTCTGCAATATACCGTCAGCCTGGGCGGAAGAGGCCTTCTCCTCGATATCTCCGGATACAATGATAAGCTTGCCGTTTTACTCCAACAGGTCACCACAACGATGAAGGAACTTGAGATTCAGGATGAACGGTTCGAGGTTGTCAAGGAGCGGCTGATCCGGGGCTTCAGCAATTGGGAGCTAAATTCAGCCTATCACCAAGTTGGCGATTTCCTAAATTGCTTGAATTCGGAACGCGCTTTCCTGGTCGAGGAGCTGGCCGCAGAATTACCTTCCATCACCTCTGAGAGCGTTCGGCTGTTCCAGAAACAGGTGTTGGCTCAATTTTTCCTCGAGACTTACACACATGGAAACATGCATCGCGAGGATGCGTTGAAGGTGACAGAAATTATCGAGAACACCTTCAAGCCTAGGGCGCTCCCCCGCGATCAGATCCCCATCGTTAGGTCGTTGATCATTCCGAGAGGCTCAAACTTCATTTTCAACAAGACATTGAAGGATTCGGATAATGTCAACCATTGCGTGGAGACACTGCTTTATGTTGGTGACAAAGCCGATCGGTTGGCCAGAGCTACCACTTTATTGTTTGACCAGATCGCTCATGAGCCGGCATTTGATCAGCTCAGAACCAAGGAGCAGCTGGGGTATGTTGTATTTGCTGGAATGCGCAACTTTGCCACAACTTGTGGAATTCGTCTGTTGATCCAGAGCGAGAGAACTCCCGACTACCTCGATTCTCGAATCGAAGCTTTCCTAGTGCAAATTGGGGACGTCCTGGAGAAGATGACGGAGGTTGAGTTTGAGGGTCACAAACGAAGTCTCATTATCAAGCGCCTAGAGAAGCTGAGGAACCTGGACCAGGAGTCATCCAGACACTGGAGCCATATCTCAGGAGAGTACTACGATTTCGAACAAGGTAGGTCATTGACATTCACATTTGATCCTTCGCATTTTTTTGACACGGTCGCTAACTAATCAACTCTGCAGCTCAAAACGACGCCGCCCATGTGAAAGCACTTACCAAAGCCCAGATTTTGGAGTTCTACAAGACTTATGTGAGCCCATCTTCACCAGCCAGGGCCCGGATCTCGGTTCACCTGCATGCACGCGGTGCGAGCGAACTTGATACCAAAATCATTGCACTTCTCCAGCAAGTCGGGCTAGAGGACGTCCCAGAAGAACAGCGGCAATGCATTGATCTCCTTGAAAAGTATCTGACCAAGGATCTTGGCCTCCCAGCAGACCAAGTATCATCAATCATATCCGAGGCCCGCGAGTGTGGGCTGAAGCGAGCCGTCTCTGGTACTGAAACTGGAGACATTGCCAATGGTTCTACTGCTGTGAGCTCAGCGGTTGAGATCACTGATGTTCGTGCTTTCAAGTCTGGCCTGCTCGCCAGTTCAGGAGCACGTCCGGTCAAGGACTTCAGTGAATATGAGGACAGAGACTCAAAGTTATAAATTGCTCGGTTAGCCGAAGTTGAAGGATGATGTTTTTCGAGAGTGGTGGCGTTGGTTATGTCGTGTCAAAAGGGGTCTCTAATGGCGGGTTTTTGGGCCGGAGAAGTGTTGTGGTGCGACAATGGAGATAGACTTATACGAGTAGTATTAGATAGACCTATACACGTGAGTAGAAGGATTCTTTGGCATCCAAAATGGATTTATATGGCTACATGTCCTGCTTGATGCCATCTGTATTGGTGGTGAGGGCTATTTTACAGCATTGCCTCTCCATCCTTTGTCCTAATTCAATTGTCTTTCGAATAGGGCTAGACAATGAAACTGAGGCCCCGCCAAGGGCACTCGTCCCTACGACCGAAGGCACGCGCCTGGGCAGGCATGTAAGGGAGGAGCAGGTTAGCACTTTCTGGGGGGTGCTTGCCGATGTATGTATTAGTACCTTCCGGGAGTAAGGCAGGTAATTAAGGCAGGTGCCTCAGTAGGGCCCGCCCACTCAGTACGTCATTGTTAATCGCTGATGCTTTTTTTTCACTCGCAATTAGTACATTGATTACCATCACGGGTGTGCATCGTAGGTCTAGAATAGATTGATGGTAGCATAAATGTCAAAAATTATCCATGCCAGTGGTTGAACACAATTGGGGGGCTGGGCAAGGTTGTTTCCGCTTCTTCTGGGTGTTTACATGCATCGGATAGTGGGACGCCATAAGAGGGGTTGACACCGATCTTGCCTAGTACTAGCAGGCATCATTCTTTCGGCTGTTCTTTCCCTTTACTGGCCTTTGGCCCTAGTTTTAGACGGTTCCCTCATGGCATTGATCAAGACTTGCCATACTAGTAATAGTCAAGGGCAAAGAGGAGCTCCACGAGGAAAACCTTGGATTTCTGTCACCGACAAAGGCATCGTTTTGGGCAGCGAAGCATTAAAAAATAGGGGGGACAAGTTCATCGTATTGATTCCAAGACATGTGTGGGAACAAATGGCTTTTTTCTCTTTCGTTTCTTTTTTCTTCACCGTCTCGGTGGGGGGTGGCACTATTCCGAGTCTTAGCATTTGTCTGATTCTGCTTTTTTTTTTTTTTTGTTTTTTTTTAACCACAGGCCTCTCTGTACGCCGCCTATCAACAAAGGCAGGTTTTTGTTGCGGGAAACAATGTGGCACCTACCCATGTACCCTCTTGAGACATGGCGAGTCGATATACTGGCCAAACATCAGATAAAAGCAATAAATTTTGTCTAGCGCTGACTAGCATCGTCTCGCTTCATGAGTTGTGATTTATTACAGCTGCTCGACTTGACCGGTCGTAGCGGACTCACTAACACCCGCAGCGGTAGGTAGTACCCGACTCCTCGCTCACCGTCTCTCACCCACCTCAGACTCTGACATGCCTTGTACCTCCAAGGTAGATAGCCGCAGGTGCTAGACCCACAGTGTACCTTGCCAACATGTTGCCGCCTGCGCCCTCTGCAACAAAGACCAGACGCCCACCTCCACAGCCCTGCTCAGCCATATTTTGCAGTCTAGCACATTTCTTGCCTGGATCCCCATTGCGCAGTCTTCTGTTTCCGCTTGGTTCGACTATTCAGATCCTCCAATCTGAGTGCCCGGAACGCTAGATTCCGACTGGACTGATGCAACAATAGTTCTCTCTTGGTCTGCAGACCTACCAAGACGATTTTCTTCGTTGTCGACGCCCGTCTCCCAGATCGCCTTGAGCTGCCCTCCGCAGCTCACCTTCAAGACGGCTTCCTCAAAGAAGAGAAAGATTTCGTCCCAGCCCTCGACGCAAGAGGAGCGAAACTCCTCTGATTCGCCCTCTTCCGACTCTGGCCGCCTGCTGTCCTGCGAACCCGACGACGACCCAGCTTTCTCGTTCTCCGCCTCCGGGCCCAACACCCCATCCTACCTGCCCGCAGATTCTCTCCCGGTATCGAGTGTTCCCCCAAGGCTCCAGCCCAGTGGGAGCTCGCTTGTCTCGGCAGAGTACGCCTCCTCGACAGCGTCCTCCCCGTCCGCCTCTGTGTGTGCCGACTCAACTCTAGACGCCGAAGACGAGTCCGGGTCAGCGCACCCCGCCAAGCCAAGGTGCCGCTCCCCCTTGCGTGTATCGAAAAGGGCCATTATGAATGGTGATGCCGACCTTCCCCAGCGTTCATCGTCACCTCTTAAGCGCCGAGCCTCGAGCATGGACCCAGAAGCAGAACAGAACAACCAAAACGGGGAGCAGCAGGCTGGTGGAGGCTTGCCCCGCGCCATGAGCATCGACCCCCCAGACGTCCCTGCATCAGGGGCTACCGCCAGTAAGTCATATAATCCCATAAAAGAATATTCTTGGGCAAAACGGTTGCTAAGTCTACTGCATCAGGTCCTCCATCCATCAGTGAGCAGGTTAAAACAATCGAAACGCTGCTGAATGCCTCCAAGGAGACCCCACTGAAGGAAGGGGACAAGGCGTACCTCGTCTCTCGAACTTGGGTTGACAAAGCACTTGCTCTGCGTGGGGACTCTTCGCGTCAGAAAGGCGATGGAAATGGCGATGTTGATTCCGACCCCCTCGGCCCCGTGGACAACAGCGACATCATTGAAGAAGTTATTAAAGACTCTTCTGGAAAGGACTATGTTCGCCTGAAACCTGGCTCCAGTCTGGAATCTTTCGAGCTGTTCCCCGAGGACGCATGGGGCTTGATAGCAGAGTGGTATGGCATGCAAGATGGGCAACAGCCCATCGTTCGTTTCGCCATCGACGCTGCACCTGACCCCATGTCAGAATCCAACGTGATGTATGAGTTTCACCCGCCGATCTTCCGCATTCATCGTCTGTGGTCCGAAGTCAGCCCATTGCCAATTGAGCAGACTCTGAAAGCAAGAAACCCTCCTCCTCTGACTCTTGTTCGAAGCTGCAACTCTCCAGCTCATGCCTTCCTAAAGGATGTCAAGACATTGGCGGGCATCCCATTAGAACGCAAAGTTCGGTTGTTCTCAGTGCCGCAGACGCTCCCAGCCTGTGAACCTTCTCAGCGCAATTCGGCTCCAACACCGCCGGATTCACCAGGGAGAAAAGATGCCGCCAATCCTCAAAACACATGGCCGTATCTCCTCCTTGACAGCCCCTCATTTGCACAAGTTCGAGATCAGAGGATCAAGGTTGATCTCGCGGATACCACAACAAACGGCAACTACAATGGCAGCTCTACCCTACAGCACTGGAACCTGGTGACAGATCAGACTCTTGTGCTTGATGAAGCCATTGAGAACGCTTGGGTCAGTACGTACACCGGTCGTAAGGGAGCCAAGTCTGGCCCTGCTAGGGGTAACGCCTCTGGACTCTCATCCAAGAACAATAGCGGGCGCAACAGTCCCGCTCCACTGGCGGGTCGTGGGCGGGCTCTACGCACAAAACCAGGAAGAAGCCTGGGCGCCGTTGGATTTCACAACCTCGGAAATACCTGCTACATGAACTCGGCATTACAGTGCGTCCGCAGTGTCGAGGAACTGACCAAGTACTTCCTCACTGATTCCTACACAGAGGAGATCAATAAGACAAATCCTCTCGGTTATAATGGACGAGTTGCATTAGCCTACATGAACTTGCTGAAGGAGGTTTACGAGGAAGGTAGGGGCTCGGTAAGCCCTCGAGAATTTAAGACTACAGTAGGACGCTGCCGCAGCACATTTCAAGGATGGGGCCAACAGGATTCCCAAGAATTTCTCGGCTTCCTTCTAGACGCGCTTCAGGAAGATCTCAGTCGCATCAAGAAGAAGCCATACATTGAAAAACCTGATTCCACTGACGAGATGATCAATAACCCTGAGGCAATCCGCAAAATGGCCGAAGAGGTTTGGGATATCACCAGGAAGCGAGACGACTCGGTTATTGCTGACCTCTTCACTGGGATGTATAAATCGACCCTGAAATGCCCCGAGTGTGGCAAGATAAGCATCACGTTTGACCCTTTCAACAACTTGACTCTTCCCCTCCCGGTTGAGGACCTGTGGCATCGGACTGTTAAGTTCTTTCCTCTGAATGAGGCCCCCGTGAAGATCGATGTTGAACTGCCAAAGCACAGCGCTGTCGAGGCCCTGAAGCAATTCATCTCTACCCGTACTGGTGTCCCCATCAACCGGTTAATGGGCGCTGAGGAATTCAAAGAACGCTTCTTCAAAATATACGAAGACCAACAGGATGTGTCGGCAGAGATTCAATCAACAGACCTGCCAACTATCCATGAGATCGAAGCTGTTCCGACCAACTGGCCTAATAAAATGAAGGCCAAGAGGTACAGATCCATGCTCGACATTGATTCACCAATCGATGCCACCGAATGGGATGATCCTAGGTACGAAACAATGGTGGTTCCCGTGTTTCATCGTCGGCCTAATGTAATTGGAGATGGCACAAATCCCCCCCCTCACTTCATCGTCTTGACACGTGAGGAAGCCTCGAGCTATGATACGATTCAACGTAAAGTTCTCGAAAAGGTTGCAACATTCTCCACGTGGCCGGTACTCGTGGATGAAGGCGATGACGACGCAGACGACACAAATAATGTTGATTCGGATGGCGTCGTGGTCCCCTCAGACGTCGACTCCTCTGGTGATGGCAAAGTTGCAGCGCGGTCAGTTGAGGGCGAGGAGGATATGGTGGATGTCACAATGACTTCGGATACTAAAAATACCGTGGCTCAGTCTAACCATCCGCTGGAGCAGTCTAAGATCCTGAAGCAATTCAGCAACAAGAGGCCCTCCTACGCCACAAACCTTCAAAGCTTCCTCGACCCGGAGCTTCAAAATCTCTTTGAGCTCAGCTACTTCGTTGATGGAACCGATGGCGCTGTTCCCACAGGATGGGGCCATGTCGACAGCAACCGCACCTTGCCGAAGATTTCCGACCGCATACCCCAGGACAGTGAGGAAGCCGACCAGCCCAGTCCCGGTAGTTGGGCCAGCACACCTTCCGGAAACGAAGAAAGTAGCAATGACGAGGCCCCGAAGGCTGAACCTAGCCAGACGCGTATGATGGACGAACAAACTGACGAGGAAGACGACAAGCCGCGAGTAGGTTCAACCCTGAGTCTCTTTAATTATTATACCCAACACGTTACTAATCATATTTACAGTTCGCAAAGCGTGCCCATCAGAAGGGTGGCGGCAAGAAGAAGTTCAAGGATCACAAGACATATGGAAAGAAAGGGAATAAGCGCAGAGAGAGACAAGCAAAGGCTGGGAGAGAGGCCGCGCGGGCCGCTGCTGCTGTCAAGCCACAGCCAATGCCCCCAACCGTTGCCGATGGCGGCCCATTGATTAGATTGGGAGAAGGTCTTGTCGTGGACTGGAGCGAGGATGCTTGGGGCACAGTCTTCGGTTACGGCGACCTCGACCATGGCAAGGGGGAAAAGACCTATATAGATCCCGAAACCCTCAATGACCCGGCCCTCAAGATTTCACAGCGGAGGCGCATGAACCGCCGTTCTCGTGGCATCACGCTTGAGGAATGCCTGGACGAATTTGAAAGGGCTGAGGTTCTCTCCGAACAAGACATGTGGTACTGTCCTCGGTGCAAGGAGCATCGGCGAGCAAGCAAGAAGTTTGATCTCTGGAAAACTCCAGATATCCTCGTCGCTCATCTTAAACGCTTCAGTAGCTCGGGCTATCGTCGCGACAAGCTGGACGTTTTGGTGGACTTTCCCATTGATGGCCTGGATCTGACATCTCGTGTTATAGAACAGACAGATGGCCAGAATGAAGTCTACGACTTGATTGCTGTCGATGACCATTACGGGGGCCTTGGAGGGGGCCACTACACGGCATACGCGAAGAACTTTATGGATGGGCGCTGGTACAACTACAATGGTAAGTGAGACAATGATGGAGCAATACTGCCCTAACGAAGGCCTCTGTACTAACCAGACTCCCAGATTCGTCCGTAAGCCAGGTGTCAGACCCCTCGTCAGTTGTGACAAGTGCGGCATACCTTCTCTTCTATCGCCGGCGGTCAAGCAAGCCTTTGGGAGGCCCACGATTCCAGCCCATTTTCGAGTCTTTTGATAAACCAAGTCACGACGAAGACTCGGACACTGAGATAGGAGAAGATGATCAGTCTGACAACGGGGTTTCCCGCAACGGCACGGTAAATACTGGGATTAAAACGACAGCTATTCGGCCCAGGGCTGACCAGGCCTCAGCAACATCGGCTCTCGCATCTCTAGAGTCCATGGATGATGATGATGAACAGCTCCCTGGGTATGGAGAGGTCGTTGCCAAGGCTTCGCTCCACCCGAGCATTGAAGATGAAGGCGTCGACATGACGGACAGTGATCCTGCCCAATCAAACCCAATAATTCAAGGATGGAGCTTCAGTGGCATCTCCGGTAATGGCCGGGAGGGATCTACAGGTGCTGATATCGGCAGCGACGATGTTCAGCATGGGTCAACAGACGATGAACGCATGGGACCTCAAAATTTCGATGACCAGGATGTCGAAATGGCCTCGGTGACTGCGGAGTTAGACAGCCAAGAGCAACTGTCCGCAACGGACGGCAACGCTCAGACCTCATGGAATCGCAAGGACATTATATCCGTGCCCGCTAAAACCGGCAGTGATAGAGACTCTGACGAGGTGGCCGAAATACACATCGAGGGCGAGAGCAGGGGACCACTGGCCAATTGACAGGGTTCACTGATTGGCCAGCGGCAATGAAGCGAGAAATCGGATGCATTTCAAGGTTAACAGGGTTGTTTATAATTATTGACCGATACGGCATTGAGGAAGGGAGAAGAGCATGCGCTTACGGCTACACGTTTTACTGATGAAATGGACGGATAAACACGGATTAGACGTCGGAAAGGACGGCCCAATGGAATAGAAATAGACATTACAGGCCTTTACTTAGGTCATGATGGTCTGGCGTTTGGGTTCATGAGAACACTAAAATGGATCGACGTATATATATGAATAACTTACACGCAAGTCAACCAAGCTCCATGTTTCTCCCCGAAGCTCTCGAGGAACTTCGCTACGAATGATCAACCACACAGTTTTACGATACGGGGACGTGGGAAATGAAACCGCGTTGTTCATAACCGATCATAGCCCAAGACCCAAAGCCCGGCGGTGATGGGATGTGGTCAGCTCGTCACTTTTGTGCAACCAGTGATTGGCTCGCGTCTACTAACATCTGACAGCTCCGAGGACATGGTTCGCATAGGCAGAAATTGCCAAGGAGCAGGGCCAGGAAAATAAAAATGATAGACCGGATGAGACAAACAGGGAACAAACGAAAAAGTAAATAAAAAGGACGATCGACCACCAATCTTGCCGCCTCATCGCGAACACTACTTGACGACCAATAGTCAGAGATACGGCCGCTGATCTGCGGCCGCGCCTGGGCAGGGATATAGAAGGGAGGGGCATATTCTTCCAGGGACCAAGAAGAGGTCACAACTGAATCGTGACTACCTTGCTCCGCTCTGTTTATCTCTCGCTGTTCAGGGTGGAGTTTTTGCTTTTCCGTTTTATCTTTGCTCTTGGGTACAATTGCTTCTTATTCGTCTCTAGCGTGGAAACACGGGAATGATGGCTGCAGGAATGCTAGCCCCGGATAGGGGAAAGGGAGGGGGGACCCTGGCAGGGAGAGGCAAAAGAAAAAAAGAGGTCAGTGCCGATAGCTTGAGATCCGAAATGCCACGAGCTGAGGTTCCTTCCCGAGGAGGTCCAAACGACGCCCGAAGGAAGGGCCTTGGTGTGATTGCGCCAGGCGATTAGGTGCTCCTTAGTCAGACGTCAGGGCCAGGGGCCAGATGCGAATCCTTTGGGCAGATGAAAGATCGGCGAGATGGTCAAGTCCTTAATGCCTTGATGTCATCCGATTGCTCCTCCTGTGGCACCTCGGGGCCAAGAGCCCCATCTGAAGGCTGGTCATAACTCAGCCCACGATGCGCCCTGGAGGGGACCTTGGGGCCTCGCTAACGAGATGACATGACTGCCCCAGGATCCTTCCGCTCGCTTACGTGCACATTCTCTGCTCGATAGAGGCGTGCCCTGCCTGGTTAGGTAGATCTGTTAAGGAGCGGCGCATGAGGAGGGTTCCAATCTGTTGGTTTCAGCTGTCGGTAGGCACATATGTAGGATCGGGGGGCAGTCAATCCTGAGGATTGTGTTCGCTGGCCAGTCGCCGCATGCAGCTTCCGGTTAGAATCCAGCTTGCATGGTTTGATACTGGTAAAGGAGAATTGGCCAGAGCGAAGAGCGCCGCAGCCAATTGGCGCGGGGAGGTTGATTGGCGCGTGGCATTACGGCATCCATGATTATTCCTCCCTGCGTCCATATCGGCATATTGCATGGAGGGCACACTCGGATGCGTGCTAAAATGGCCGCCCTACATATGCAAATCGGCACCAGAGCATGTGTATGCACCGGTGGCAGCAACTGGCACGGCATTTCCCATGCGATGCGACGTGGGGGATGGATTTGTAATTTGCCCGGGCTATAAGGAATTGATCAACGGGCCAGTCGACCCCAACGGCGGCAAGCTACCGGCGGAAGGTTCAAGCTATTTTGCTCGCCCGTGCCATCTCGCACGCATGCGGATGTGATGTGATGTGGTGGCTACCCATCTCTTCTTATGTGATGTGGCACAGAAGCTTCCATCCTCCGTCATTCCGCCTTCCGGCAGGCGGTTTTGCATATCCGTGTGGAGTTGCACAGCGACACTGCAGTTCCCCGGGCTTGCGAATGGGAGGGTGATGGCTCCAATTGGTCGCCCTCGCCCTGGCTCTGTGCGCCTCTTGACTCTCTTGGGTTCTTTTTTGCTTCTTCGAGGGAGCCTACACGTGTAATACATATGCGCATACACGCAGCTAGCCAAACGGCGTGATTATCTGCCAACCTGACTGCCTGCCCCGGAAAACATGTCTCGTACCATGGCGGGCCTGGTTGCGTTAGCACTGCGCAGTTGACGATGATTTTGCATGGCAGTAAGAGAGCGAGGCAGAGGCAGATGAGCAGGCAAGCGCATGTGTGAGTGGCAAAAGAGCTGGGAGGGTGCAGGCAGCCGGGAGACCGCAGTAGTTGGAACGGCTAGTCTTGGGCTCGGTGTTTTGGAGATGGCAGTAATCAAAGTTGCAACCAGCAAGATCCCAGAGCGGGCGGGGGGGAGGCAGAGTTGTAGCGGCTCCAGCGCAGCGAGCGCCCGTAGGAGAGAATGGCTGCATCGCGGCACATCCGGTCGCTAGGTTAGGTTCCAGTGGCAGATAAATCGCAGTGGGCTGCACACGGAGGCCTTTCCTGGTTGGAAATAGCTGGGATTGAGGTATCGACTGGTATTGACTGCAGCTTGGGCCATTCTCCAAGGCAAGGTCATTGAAGCCATTGGAAGTGCGTGAGAAGGCACGGTAGGACCTCATTACCCACTCCCAGGTGCAGGGGCCAGACAACAGTTCTTGCGATAAAGGTACTTGGCCAGGAGGTCACTCCTTGTAGTTGGGGAATACACCTGGGAGGTGTCAGAGGTGGCCAATGGGAGCTGATCGCAGGGGGCGAGCTACAGGGGATGGATGGGGCAATTGGGTGTGCTATAGCACGTTATAGGCCCCCCCAGCCCACACGCGCCCGGGCACGGGGCAGCTGAGCTTCCATGGACTTTTTCTAGAATACGACCAGAAGCCAGCACGCTGAACGGGCGGAGGAACAAGGCGTGTACAACGGGGTACATTCGTACAACCTAGCCCGGTCATTCCCCGCCTTGGCCCTCTCCCTTTTGGACCCATTGTTGGGTCCTCCATCAAAGACCAACATCGGAGAAGACTGCTGCTCTGATCTAGAATCCCCATATCGCTGCAGCGCCATCGGTGCTGGCTCTCCTGCGCCGCTCTTCTGTGAATTGGAACACCTCGGCCTCTTCCCTCTTCTGCGCCTTCCCCGTCTTATTTCCCTCAGGGTTGCCGGCAGGTACGACCAGCCAGCAGGGTTTCCCCAAGCCATCGCGTGCGTGAACGTGCGACCAGGTCTTGCCACTGTGTTTGTTGGGTGACTCCTGTGGCGTGAGCTATTACCAGTGTCTGGAATTCTGAAACATCCAGAGAAAAACATCGCCAAGCCGAGCCAGATACTGATATGTAAAAAGCTAAATATCGAAAAATGGCAGCTGCCCGTGCCAATAATAGGCCCCGGAGCAAATGCGAGCATAATACATGCCATGCCAGTCCAATTTACCCTCTTCTTCTTTTATGCTTCTGGAGCATTCCTGCTGCCATGTCAGAGCCCGATTTCGGGATACACCTGCGCAATGCTGAATCAGAGGGCCCCGGTACATGGCCTAATTGATATTGATTGAAACCAGCAGCTGTTTTTCATTTCAGAAATCCGGCCCTGTTCTCAGCAATGTGTAGCGCACATCCACAGGACATGAGCTATCTCATCACGACCAGCGCCGTAGCACAGCGCAGAGGAACCCCACTCGCAGCGAGATACAGCTGCTCGCTAGCAGTAGGCTGGCAGCTCCGGCGCGCGGGAGGCTGAACGGCAGGCACCTAAGGTGCCTAAAACCCATGAAAGCTGTCGCCAGTTGGCCAAGACGCCCGTGCTTATTAGGGCTGTCTGCTCGCCGACATCGCGTGCCTAATTGATCCATCCCGATTGAATTCCATGGATGCCTTCAGATATTACCTACCTAGGCAGATATATTAGTAGGCACGGTGCCCGGGTAACAGATACGCAGCAGGCAGACGGCAGCTCAACTTGCCTGCCTGCTAGGCCGGGCAGTTTCTTCCAAGGTTCGGCTGCTTTGGGACACGCAGCCCAGACCTTCCACACCCCTTCGATTGCGGTGATCCATGCGACACGTGCAGCTGATTTGTGAACAAGGTCGGGTGTGTTCTAGCGGGGGTTCTGTTTCCTTTCTTTTGTGGGTAGACGCTAGCTTCTCTGGCGCCAGATTTCCTCCAGCCTACCAGTACCAAATCTCTTTTCTTTTTTTCTTCCTGCTCTTCCTTGCTTAGGCCGCATTGCTAGCTTGCAAATGCAATCTTGCCATTGATGCTGCTAGAAACTACCCCTGGCTCGTCTCTTTGATTGGTGTGCGCATCTGCTGGGTAATGTGCCTTTCGCACACCACCACCTGGACCCAGACACACAGTGGACGCACGGCCAAAAGAAGGTTGGGAGGGGTGTCAAAAAAGGAAAAACAGAGGAAGGAGAAAAAGAAGCAGAAATCTTCCAATCCGGTGTATTGTATCGAATGTTCCACCAAAAGAACCTCCAACACCGTCATCATTCTCAGCAAACCGGAATCCTTGACTGCCCGTAGCCCCATCCCATATTGTGATCAAAAGCCTTTTCCCCCCCAGGACTTCAACAGCATGATCCCTACCATCTGATGCTGTTGCAGTCTGCGACCGCCCCTCTCCATCCAGATCAAACCTACTTTCCCTCTTAGCGGCATGTGGACTGCCACTTGCATCGGTAGGTACACAGCCCAGGTACCCGCAAAGTCGCCCAAAGTACCTCACCTGGGGAACAGACCTCCATCACCACCTGGCAGCTGTCCAGGGACCGCCGGCTACCAGCTCTCAGCGCTGCCCGTCTTCCAAGTCGCCTTACATGCCCTGGAGTACCTCCAGGTCGCCTTGATGAGCGACCGCCGATCTGTAATTCCATGCTGACTTTCGCCCCCCTCCCTCGCCCTTCGCCCTCTTCACACATGTACATCAACGAGGCACTACCGACGCCAATCATCCGCTGCGTACGGAAAGGATCTGGAATAAGATTCAGTCTGCTCTTGTGCTTGTTCAGAGGTGGCCCTTGTCCTCCTACGAATTGAATAGCACCAGTCTGGTTTTCCATATCGCCGCTCTCGGTTTGGGCTGGTACCCTCTGTACTGAAGGCACGCCTCACAATTCAGTCCAGCGACACGGCGCGCAATCCCCCAGCCCAGCGCAGCAAGGAACATCAGGAGCTACTTACACCTGGTACCCTGGCGTAAGTACCTGCAAGTACAGAGCTGCCCAACCTGGCCAGGGCCACTTGCCTCGTCTTATCTCTGTCTCTACCTACCTACTCTACTCACTTCGCTTGACAAACTCCTTCCCGCGCAGTCAGGCCGCCTCCACAATCCACGTCTCACATTTCTGTCTCACTCCTACCGACTTGACCTGGCCTCACTCTTTCCCACACCCTCACGAGGAAGCCGTCTAGCCCTTCCGCCGACTTGACCTCTCAATGGTGGTTGCTAGCCAACACCAGCCTGCTTCTCGTCCGAGCCCGTGACGGTTGCTTCAATCGCAACAATCAATCTTGTGTCGGTAGTTCCATGCTTCATCGGGGCACCGTTTGACACCCACCATTCACTTCCATCGTCGCTTAGGTCTCTATCCTCTCTCTCCTTCGCGCCAAACAGAAACATCCCCCTTCTCTTCACACAGGATTCCGAAATCTCTTCCAGGCTTCCTTTCGCCGAGCGTTCGACTAGCGGCAACCATTGGAGAAATCCTCTTCCTTAGAGCAACCCGACCAGAGCACGAAGCCTTCAAACGACGTCCTAGATCTCGCTCTTGTGTCGCGCACTACTACCGCCGCCCACGACGTAATAACGCTTCGAACTCGACTCTGCCCACTATTGGACTTCGCAATAGTCGCCAATTCGAATTGAGGCGAGAACATCTGGCGCAGCACGCATTCGGATACTATTATTAGGGCGAATTATTTCTTCCTGGTTGTTACACCTCTCTGCCCTCGTGGTCAAAAGCGCTCCAGTCGCGGGGGACTGGTCGCTATAACTTGCCACCATGGAGAGTCCCGCATGTCAAATAATTTATGTGAAAAGGAGTTTCGGTCCCGGACGGTCGGTATGCTCTTCTGGAGATGTGAAGAAGGTGCAAGGCCCTATCCCAGATGAGGTCAAACCGCTTCTTGAGACATTTGACGATGGTTTGTTCTCCCCTGCTATAAGAAAGGGGGCTGCTTGATGAACTGACCTCTTCTCAAAGTGTATGTGTGCGCCACGGGTCTGGCATGCCTCGATAAGCTCATTGAGCTTCATGACCAGCCGATGCTCGGCATGAAGCCAACCCTTGTCTTGATAGACACCCCTCACGAGAATTATACCAACGAGAATCGATCCCAGGGATCCGAGTCTCCCACGGCTGATTCGCCCAACTCCTCTGCCGCTCGGATCCATGCGCCTGACGAGGACTTGTATGGATTTAACCTCCTCCAGAAAATAATTACCGAGGCCCGCCTCCGAAATATTGCGAAGCTTGTCGTTCCCATCCCTATTGTGAGCCATGCGACAGCCGATGGGCCATTCGAACAGACGGGCGGAGCACAAGAGATTTCCCCTGCCTCGCGTAGGGATCTTGCCAGTAATCGCGGGATCATAAGAAGGTGTCTGGATCTCGGCGCTATTGATGTGATGGTCAGCCCCATCAGCTCTAATTGTGTCGCAGCTCTAGAAATCTCCGCCTATCGGGCAGGCCGAGATGCCGCTCGAGAACAGCAGTCGCTTCTCGCTATCAAAAGAGGGCGACAGCGATCATGGGTTGGTGTGAACGAAGAGAAGCCATTCGCATATCTTCGTGAAGCCATGGTCGCGGGGCTTATGAAGGGGATTTGCCGTTCAGGATCTGAAGACGAGCAGGTAACAAGTGCCCATGTCGCCGTTTCTACAGAGCGGCAAGCCGAAGTCGCCCGAGCCGTTGGTCAATATCACTTTTCTATCCATAATTTTAACGATGACGAGCTCGTTGTTGCTGCTTTGGTCATGTTTCGACATGCTCTGTCCATGCCGGAGCTGGAAAATTGGCGAATCCCTACTGGTGAGTACCGTGCCACATTGAGGCGGCTCCTGTTCTAATCCATGAATGACAGAACAATTGATAAGCTTTTTGGTTGCCTGCCGAGCCGCATACAACACGTTCGTCCCCTACCACAACTTCCGACACGTGGTAGATGTGCTTCAAGCCACCTTCAACTTCCTCGTCAAAATCGGTGCTCTTGCCGAGTATCCCCCTACCTCGACAGACGGGGACAAACCCAAGGCTGAAAAATCGCCCATGGCCTCCCTCGTCGGTCCATTCGAGGCTTTGACTCTACTCATCACGGCTATAGGGCATGACGTTGGGCACCCAGGTGTTAACAATGGATTCCTAGTGACACTAAATGCACCTCTAGCCCAGCTCTACAACGACAGATCGGTGTTGGAGTCGTTCCACTGTGCTGCATACTCGCAAATACTTCGTCGACACTGGCCTTCTGCATTTGAAGACTCCAAGATGCGAAACCTCATGATCAGCTCGATTCTTGCAACTGATATGGGCTTGCACTTCGACTACATGAAGAAGTTAGGTGATATCCAAGCTAAACTTGGTGAAAATAACACCGCCGATGGCTGGAACGGACGGCAGGTCGAGGAAGCGAGAGACCTGGCTTGTTCACTCTTAATCAAGTGTGCAGATATCAGCAATGTGGTAAGTCGTTATAGCTTCCGTTCCCTCACTGTCTTTTGCATTTCAGAACCCAATGTGACTAACACATTGGAAGACGAGACGATTCGATGTTGCTACCCGGTGGATGCACATCTTGTCCGAGGAATTTTCCCGCCAAGCGTCCATGGAGGATGAGCTGCGCATTCCGTCCTCTTTGATGACACCTCCCAAAAAGGATCTGGCATCGCTAGCCAAGGCTCAGCTGGGCTTCATGAACCTTTTCGCGATCCCATTGTTTCAAGGAGTCGCCGACATCATGCCGACTTTGGTTTATGCTGCGGAGGAGCTTGACATTAATAAGGGCCTTTTTCAGACCATGGTGGACGAAGAGAAGGCCAAGCTTGAAAAACAACACCTGACCCCTGAAAATACCTTTTCTCCCCGCACAATGAGCTTCGCCGCAGGCATGGAGGATGAAGATGCTGGGTTGAAGCAAAAAGAGCGACAAAGCGAGATCGAGGCTAGACTTGCTACCCTGGTTGTAGCTCAGGAGCGAGACGAAGACGCTCTGGGTTCTGAGCATCATCCAGAGATGGATCCTCTAACCATTCCGTCCACGGGCGAGGAGTACAAGGGGGTAAATGGCGGGGCATCGGTTTTAGATGGGATGAAAACTCTCGTCGATTTTGACCCTTTCAACGGAACTAGCCAAAACTTCAGCGGCACCAATTCCACTGAGACCACGATTCCTGTTCGAAACAGGCAGAGGTGCAGCGAAACAACCGAGGGAAGCACATCCGGAGGTTTGTCTGGTGATTGGGTGTCGCAGGCCACGAGCAGTGCCACGGGCAAGATGCCCATGTCTCCAAGTACGAAGGGCACGAGCATCGTGAGCAGAGACTCCCTGGAGCGACCAAGCAGCGCTCCAGGCCCCGAAGGCAACCGTACATTGGGAGTGGAACCCATATCAAAGAAAGTGAGCGCCAGCGAACAGACGGTTTCCACATCCACGGGCAGCCTGGGGAAGGCAGAAGGCAAAGCTCTCCGGAAGAAGACGAGCCGGTTTAGAATGAAGGATTTCCCTTTTTTCAGACGGCACAAAGCCTCGAGCCCGACCTGCCAAGCGACAAACAGCGTGAGCTGAACAGGCTTGGCTCGGATTTGCTCTTGTTGGAAAATAAAAATAAGGCGCGGAGGTGATAGAGGGAAAAGAAACCCTTTTTTCAACCTTAAATAAGGTCGTGGAGACGCGATCTCGCTGATTATGATGGGAAAACGCCTTCTAGAGAATGCCGAGGTGGTGACCATACCACTCGGTCGCACATGCAAAGCATGCGCTCATCTTGCAACCCATCTGTTGTACACGCTTGCCATTTTTCTCTCAAGTAAGAGACAGATGATGCACCTGTTTGGTTTTCAATGTTCTCCTTGAAGGGATAACAGCCAAACACTCACCTGGTCTCGTGGCTTGATTCTTCACCATATATATATTTAACATCATTCACACCCGGTTACACACATGCGCACACATATATTACACGACCTAATATGCTGTGCTACGCGTTTGGTGTTGGGGCTTCCTTGCAGAATGGCTTTTTGTCTTTCGGCCCCGGCCTGACTGCTCTGGGTTAGGACTGGCGTTGTTTTTTATTGATTTTTTGCCCCTGGGTTTTTTTTGGGGGGGGGTTCTGGGTTGATGACATCTGGTCAGAGGATTATGATGCAACAGGGATGAAGGAGATGGTTTGCGAGTTTGTGGCAATCAGGGAGAGAAAAGCCTCGGACTCTGTGGGAGATGGAACATGGACCAGAGCTGATAAGACGGCGTTAGAGTATAGGAGAGACTGTTGAAGCGGTCGGGATACCATGGGTTGGAGGTCTCTATCAAGAGCGGAGCTGCCTCAGAACTACAAGTCGGAGATTTATCTCACATTCTGCGGTATTGCTGTGTATTACGTAGCCAAAGTAGTTAGTATATTACACATTTCACGTTGCCCACCATTTGCTTGGTAGCACTGCATGTGTGCGTTGAGGGAAGCACATGTTAAGTGCTTGCTTGGCCTTGATATCTATGTTGTTCTGCTGTATAAGTAACATATCAGGATAGGCGTCGATCACCAAAAAGAGGCAGAAGAAAAGCAGACACCGGGGCACTGTACCAGTCGGTGACTATGGAGGTCAATTGCCCAGATTCCACCGGGTTGTGTTCAACACGGGCTGCTCGGTGCCTGTAGCTCAAGAGCTCAAGAGCCTTCCACCTACCCAGCTAGGCAGGTATTTTAGAACATCGAGCCGCTACCTACCTAATTATAGGATGGTGCTCCCTACCTACCTACATTGATGTAGGTATCTCATGATGTATATTGAGGACATGTTGACAATCACTAAGAGCAACGAGCAGGTGCTGTCTACTAAGTATTATTGCTGTAATGTCACCAGCGCTAGGTACTGCATGGAGGCATCCATCCATGTAATTACCTCAGCTGTTCATCAAAAGGGGCCGCCCATTCCAGAGCTGTCCAGGGGTTGAGCTTCAGGCAGTTAACGGCCACACTTTTTAGTACCAAGGCAATGTGAGGTGGTAGCTAAGGTTAGTTATTAATACCTGTTAATACCGGGCTGTAATTGTTCAGCTCGGTTCTGCCAAGAAAGTAGCGCTGATTGATTCTTGTTTCGCATGGCCGTCAGGTCAATTCAATTTATTCATTTCATTGTACCTCTTGTATTGCAGTTCTTTCTGCCTTCCCAGGAAAGGAATGCCTGGCTGCTGACCAGAATGATCTGACTTGCTAAGTGGACATTGAGCCTCTCATCCTCGCCCGCATCTTGATCACCAGCAATCCTGGATACCCCCGGTCAAGCCTCGGTCCCTGTTTTCTCAGGACTATCCCTCAACTAACCGTTCGCTGGCTTCTTGGCTATGAGACACGCATCTCATTCTATGAGTCATGGCTGCCCTGGAGGAAAACCTCATCAAGCCCGTCAAGCCCGGTCTGCCCCCTCCTCCCTCCGCCGACTTTTTTCAGCCGGCCCAATGGGAGGTTCTCTATAGTCTACTCGACGCAGTTCTGCCTGCAGTTGCGCCCGTGTCCGTGGCACCAAGGCAGGAGACGGATGGCAAATTGGGGGCCATTATCGTGCCTAAAGATGAGTTCGAGAGCATCATTGACAAGGCGGCGGGATCCAACACGGAGCCGCCCTCGCGTGACTCTCTCGAGGACTTCTTTTCTCGGAACATAACCGAAGATGCTCGGGTTCGAGAGGACTGTCTGCGGATGATCGCAGTGAGCGCTCGAAAGGAGGCGTTGGCAAAGCTCCTGTCGTTCATGAAGTGAGTGCCACCCCTTCCTCTTGTCTTCCCTCTCTTAGCGCTGAAACCACCGCATTCCCGAGCGGTTGGAGCATGGTTTTTTTAAGGATGGCCGAGTTAATACATTGCCTCTTTGGTGCTCCCTTTCTGTAGTACATATATCGGCAGCAGGCTTTTGACGGGATATTGGGGACCCATCACGACTCAACCAAGCCATGTTAGACAGGCCATCCTCCAGTCGTGGGTAACCTCACGCTGGCCTACCATGAGAAGCCTGGGCAAGTCCATTACGAGCATCGCCCTCAAGTCGGTGACGACGAGCAGCAGCATGCTGCACCAACTGTCGGGCTACAGCGACGTGCCGCGGGACTGGAAGGCCACGGCAAGCTACGACTTCAAGTTCGTCCAGCCCGGGGAGGGCGCGGACGTCTACACGATCAGGACGGACGTCGTCGTCGTCGGGTCCGGCTGCGGCGGCGCCGTGTGCGCCATGAACCTCGCCGAGGCGGGCCACGGCGTGCTGGTCGTCGACAAGGGGTACAACTTCCCGGCCTCCCACCTGCCCATGTCGCAGGACGAGGGCACCCACCACCTCTTCGAGAACGCGGGCATCGTCATGGCGGAGAACGGCGGGCTCGGGGCGATCGCGGGGTCCAACTGGGGAGGGGGCGGGACCGTCAACTGGAGCGTGTGCCTGAAGCTCGAGGATCGGGTGCGCGGGGAGTGGGCGGGCCGCGGCCTGCCGTTCTTCTCCTCGCCCGAGTACGACGAGTGCGTCGACCGCGTGTGGGAGTTCGCGGGGGCGTCGACGGGCGGGATCCGTCACAGCCACAGCAACAGGGTGCTGCTGGGCGGAGCGAGGAAGCTGGGGTGGGCGGCGGCCGAGGCGCCGCAGAACACCGCGGGAAAGGTGCACGACTGTGGGCAGTGCCTCCTAGGATGCGGATCGGGTGGGAAGAGGGGACCGACGGTGAGCTGGCTGCCTGCGGCTGGGGAGGCGGGCGCGCAGTTCATGGAGGGCTTCCAGGTGGACAAGGTTCTGTTCGATGAGGAGGGCAACAGGGCGGTTGGCGTGGAAGGATTGTGGACGTCGAGGGGTGCCAACGGCCGTCTGGATGTGCCAGAGAGTGAGAGGGTCCAAAGAAAGGTGCGGGTTGAGGCCAAGAAGGTCATTATTGCTGCTGGAAGCTTCAGAAGCCCGGTGATCTTGATGGCCAGTGGGATCGAGGTAAGAACATCATGCTACCAGGAGGAAGCGGCCCGTCCAGATACGATAAAGGGGAAAGCAGCGAGCTAACACACGACGATAGAACCCGCAACTCGGCAAGAACCTCCATTTGCACCCAAGTAACGTCGTCACCGCGACGTTTGGGCACGATACTGATCCTAACGGGGGCGGGATCATCACGAGCTGCTGTTCCGAGTTTGACAACCAAGATGGCAAGGGCCACGGCGTAAAGCTGGAACCTACATGCATGGTGGTGAGTTTTGTACAACCTGCACTCAGACAATTGTTTGCTTCTGTCGATTTTCGGACTTTGATTTCTGACTACGTGCCCCCCCAACATCCAGCCTTATACCTGCCTGACAATGTTCCCCTGGAGGAATGGGGTCGACACCAAGCTTATGCTGCTGAGGTATCGGCGCCTCAACTCCTTCATCGCCATCACTCGAGACAGAGACTCGGGGGAGATCCGGCGCGATCCCGCAACGGGCAGGCCGCTTGTCGACTACACGGTCTCCGAGTTCGACCAGAAACACGCAGAGGAAGGCGTGGTTGCCCTGACGAAGATCCTGTACGTGTCCGGTGCGGACGAGATCCAACCTTACTATCCCAACCTCGAGCCCTTCGTCAGGACGAAGAAGAGCCGGGTTGTGGAAGACACGGACGCCCAGGATCAAACCGAGGATCCTGAGAAGACGGACCCGGCGTTTGCGGAGTGGCTGCGGGAGCTGCGCGCGAAGGGCAACAGACCTCCGTCCGGGCAGTGGTCCGCGGCGCACCAGATGGGCTCGTGCCGGATGGGAGCCTCGCCAGAGGAGGGCGTCGTGGATGAGAGGGGGAAGGTCTGGGGGAGGGAGGGGCTGTACGTGGCGGACTCGAGCGTGTTCCCGAGTGCGAGTGGTGTCAACCCGATGATTACGATCCAGGCGATTGCAGATTGGATATCGAGGGGTGTGGATAAGGAGCTGAGAGGATGAGGGCATCGTGTGAGTGTGTGTAAATCTCCCGGGGTGGTTATCATGTCACCATAATTTGTTACAGTTACCGTTCATATGCGTCATATGTGTGAAGCGAGAAAGGGAAAAAAACGCGGGATTGGCCTTAAAAACCATAATGAAAACGCTCGTTCAAATTTTTCTTTTTTTGTCTGTGTGCTGCTGATATTTGAAAGGTTTGACACGGAGTATGTGGTGGTTGGGCTAGAGTATTGAAGGTTCTCATGATTTGTTACAGTGCGAAGCGAGAAAAGGAAAAACACGGGATTGGACTTAAAGAAACATGATGAAAACGCTTCTCGTTCACGTTATTGTTTTTTGCCTGCGTGATGCTGATATTTGAAAGGGTTGAAAGGGAGTATGTGGTGTTTGGGCTGTGTATTGAAAGTCTTCGGGTGCCTGTGAGGCTACCCTGGAGCTATTATTTGACTGACAGATAATTTTGCCACGACGATAGTATTCACATTTAGGGTGTCCAAAGACTCAATTGTGCGATACCGTCATCTCTGATGGGTAGTTTCGGATTCACGGGATACTTTGCTCGTATCTACGAGGTGGAATTGGTCATTGATCGGCCAGCATTGAACATGGTCCAAGACGTGCCCGGGCCAGCACAATCATCACATGCGCGGAAGAAAAAAACTACAAATGACGTATCCGGGAGGAGAAGACGGCGAAAGAGTGCCTTGTGAGCCCTAGCATGCATAGACCCTGGGTACCGTCGGGCTGGAACAGGCTTTGAGTCATAGCAATGATTATTCCGGTCAACGTGGAAAATAAACTATTTGTGCGAGGTCGGTGAGGGAAGCTCGGTAGTAACGGTTGGCAGGGCTCCGCTCGGGTGGGAAGGGACCTTGTCCAGCTGGACAAGGTCCGTGTCTCGCGGGCAAGGCGGCGGTGGCTGGCCCTGAAGAAGGGATCGATGACGGCTTGGTGATCAAGGCTTGGTGCTTGCTGATGCCATGATGCGAGCGAGCGGGGGGGTTAGTGAAGGGTTCGACTGCGCAGTGCATGAGGAGCAGGTTTTGCCCTGTGTGCTGGTGTCGATAGTTGATGACTACATGCTGTAGCTCAGGGAGTTGCTCGCTGCGGGGGAGCACAGCCACGGCCGCCCTGCTGGGGCGCTGGGTGGGTCCATGTGCTGGCAGCAGCTCGGGCTGGCCGTGTGGCTGGTTTGGTGACCGCCGGTATCGACGCTGCACCGACGCAGGTGAGTGCCTTTTCCGGTTACGACATGCACGACGCCGTACCAAACCTGCCGACCGTATGCATGGCGGCCATGGGCCAGCTGCAGGGTTGCGAGGGAGACGATCATGATGCCCGTGAGGGAGCAGATGCAACATTACCTTCTTGCTTACTCCAGCAGAGGCAGAGGAACCCTGGGGGCCGGAGGCGCGGAATTCACGATGGGTTAGGTAGTAGGCAGTTGGTCGGCCTGCTTTCCCCTTTCTTCTCGGTTTGCCTTCGGGGTCGCCCGTGGGACAAAGAGACTGTGCATATGCAAATCATCAATAGTCATCTCGCTGCCATGAAAAGGCATCGCGAATGCTATCAGCAAATACCACCTCCAACTACTGCTGGAGCTACGTAATAGTACTAGGCCGTTTCCCACACAGGGCTGATCTCCAGAGGCCCAGGCTTGGCGTTGCTCTGACCTTCCAGGCTGGCAGGGGTCTCTCCCACCCTTCATCAACCTCCTTCCCCAAAGCGCGCGCCACTGCAACTTGATAATACCGGTGTTATGGAACTGGGAGCGATATCTGCCATGGCTGAGATGGCGAAATGGCATGGACGATTCCCTGATTCAGGACCTGGGCAGCCAATTCTCGTATGTATGCATGTAACCTGACAAGGTTCGTATGAAACGGTAATGCATGAATCTTCCGGGAAAACTTTTGCTTTGCACAATGGTAATATTGCTTTTTGCGAACATGATATTACTGTTTGCTTGCCGCCTTGGTGCAGGACCGCGTGCAAGGCCGCATCGGATTGTCCGCTGTGGAACTGATGCTACATCAGGTACCTTGTATCAGCCTGTCTATGCAGGCAGGTCGAACCTGCAGCAGGCGGGTAGAAACCCGATCTTATGTCTTAGAAACCCATGGGTTCTCGTCAACATCCTAGTCAGAATCATCATGAAGTTGGCTACTCTTTGCCCAAAGGCAGACAAGATAGCATAGGGGACGATAGATCGAGCATGAGGTCCATGACGCGGCGGGAGGCCGATATGGCCGCCCCGGCCCTTCCCTCGGCGTCAGTCGCGACAATCAGTGCCCGTGCCCCCTGTCCAATGGCCAGTACGACCTGCTCTTACACTGCTATGCTATGGGTGTACTGACGGCCGATGTGGTAGGATCATCGGAAAAGTCATCTGAGATGTCATTCGGCATATCTCTCTCTGGTCGGGCCTAAGGCCCTTGCCGTTGCTTTGCGGTGTCGTCCTGTTCCCGTGACGGGTTGGTTTCGTCTCTCTTCCTCTTCTGCGACGTCATCCTATCCGATGGCGGTATGCGCACAATCAGTCAGTCTGGATTGCCTTCGTCCTCATGTGACAAAGTAGACCCTGATTTAGTCAAGTGATGCGCAGGGTTCTATGGCTGATCCTGTCGCAGGGTTGCCCTTGGGGAGGGTGTTGGCAGGCCGCCGCTGGGGTCCTCACCACCGGTACCCACGAGATTTCCATCATATGGCGCTACTGCTGCATCTCAGAAAGCTGCTAAGCCGCAGTGGATCGAGTGGACTATCCTGGATAGACTCTCCCAGCGCCATACTCCTTCTGGACGTATTCGTGTGTCTTGGCCACCAGACCCCGGACATGTACCGGTACCTGTCTTGTGGCTGGAAGCCCGCAACCTCGACTTTCCTCCGGTAGATGAGTCAGCCGTGGCTTCCGACCTTGCTCAAACAAAGCCAAGCGTGCCCAGACAATGGAAAGACGACAAACAATGATGATCGCGACATCGCTCTTTGGAGGCAGAGGCCGGTAGCGCCCGATGCCGAGGGTCTGGTTCATCAGCCGGTGCTATTCTGCTGCTACCCACCCATTGTCTGAGACGACATGCGCCAATGGCTATTCCCGACCTAGCCCTTCACGATGCCATGCTACGCCAAGTCCAATATCCCCTTTGTTTTGGTTTGGAGATGGGACCTTTAGAGTAAGACACTTGTATGATATGATTCTTTATTAAACCCAGTCCAGAGGGGGGCGCGGATCTAGATAGCAGGGTGCCAGGTCTCCTTTCGTCCTTTCCAATAAAGACCGGAGGAATTTCTTGATGATCATGCCCAGGCCCTGGTGCGAAGTGGCACCCCCCTCTGCCACCATTTTCGCAATAACGGCCATTGTAATTACCGTGCCACGGCCAAGGCGGGGAGTGTATGGTCTTCATCTTACGATTCGTTTGATCAGCCAAAGAGGACAGATAGAGGTCTACTGACAAAAGGTCCATTGGTTTTAGACATATGTCAAGATGCCGCTAGTTGGTCCGTAATACACAGCTCGGCGTAGCTACTTGATGTACAATTTGTCCTGAGCATATTCGGTTCGTCTCCTCCCCATCAACTCCACCTACCTGTCTTTGTCGCAGCGTGCATATCGCATATTGCCTCCATCCAGCCTGTTCTTGTCTCCTGTCTCCTGTCTCTTTTCTCGTCGCATTTTCGTTCTCCTGGTGCTCGTTTGCTTGCATGCCTTCTACTTCCGGCAACATGCCCCATCAGGCGACGACTTATCGGCCCCCTGATTGGCCAAAAAGGGCGAATTTTGGGCACAATCAGCCAATCGCGACACAGGACCTGCTCGGCCCCACACCTCCGCCGGGCCCCACTTCAGACCACCACTAGATATTTCGGCTCTGTCCAATCAGGGCCCGTAACGGCACTTTGACCTCAACTCACCACCCGCCACTAGCATGGATGTCTTTCTTGTCAAATGCCATCTACAGGCTCTCGTTGCTCGGAGCCTTTGGTCTGGCTCATCCCTTTTGGTGCTGGGTGCTCGCCACTCCTGGCCTGGGCAGGGTCAGGGAGACGTCGTAATGGGTTATTTGTGTGTGTGTGAGTGTCCCACACGGTTCTCGTCTTGGGTAATTTTCCTTTCCCAGTCAGGGAACGTGGGAAGGGGAGAGGGAGGGCTGGACTCAACCCGCACTCCTGGGTTTTCTTTTGATAGTACCATTTTCCGTCTTGCCAGCCGTCCAACCATGTCCCCGGACTTACACACGCTCTTTCAGGATCATTTCCCTAGCAGATCCGGACACTGGGTCCAAATCTATGAAGCCCTCCCTAGCGGGCTGAGGCACGCTCCCGCCCGTTGTTGGCACTTGCAAGATTAACGGCTTCTGCCTTATGGGGAGAATTTTTGCCCTGGACCAGGCGTGAAGTTGGGGAACGTCGTGTTTCCCAGCTCTGCCTGCCGTCGTCGTCCGCCTGGCGTTTCATTTTGCGCGCCCGTGTATCAGGCAGTTATGACCTTGGCGCAAGCGCATATAACCCAGAGATTTCCTTCTTCCTCCCAACACTGTTGTTTCATGTTGGCGCCGACGCATATGTACAATATATGCGGGTCATCGTGAGTCAATAGGGACGCCGCGGAAGCTACGGGGGGTGTGATGCTCGGTTTTGGGGAGAGACCATGGGGAAGAGGGCTGGCTGGACTTCCTATTAAGCACATGATGTCCATATCCGTCGTTTCAGCTAATAAAGAGGGATGGCACTATGCCCCCCCCGCAAGGATGACAAGAGGACCGCACAAATTGCGCTGCGCGAGCGCCGTCTATAATATGATAAATAATCTCACTATTACTTGAATTGGGGGGGACCAGTGCCACCCTCCTCCCAACGAGAGATGGGGAAAGGAGGGAGGGGGTCTACTGCGATGTTGGCGGCCGCACATGTCAAGGCTATACTAGTGATGGACTGGGCTAAAACTCAGGAGGCCACTTGATCCTGCGAAGTTGCATAAGCCCGTGTTCGTTTTCTGG